ATCGACCAAAATGCACCTCCTCCGCGGCCGCGACTCTGACCTCAATGGGCTGAAGCACCCGAGCACTTGCGGGTGCGCCAAGCCTTTCCCATGTTTTTGGCCAGGGGTCAAAACCCAAATCGTACCCCCAGTGAACATCCGATTCAATCTCCACTAAAATAGGTCCTAAAATAGGTGGTGCACCTATCCCAAAATCATTGGTTTTGAACCATGGTCATTTTTGTTGCAGGTCCTCGTTTTGGGAGAGGGAAGCCGAGAGGAAGCCTTTTCCACTTTGGAGCTGGGTTGCTCCCTGATCCAAAAATCAACCACAATGGTGGTACGGAAAAGCCAGTCGTGTCCAAAAGGTCTTTTTGGGGCCATTTGGTCACACCGAATGTCAGTCATGCGAAGGGGGAACACCCACCGTGGTCCGGATTCATTCGAAGTTGACATAGGAACACAGGTGTCCTTTTAGGGCAAGTTGGTGGCCCTGGTAGATGATTAAACCACCAGGTACACCAGGGCCATCTATTTTTCGACCAAAACAACCAAAAAGGACACCTATGCATAGGAAATCCACCAGTTCATCGAGTGCTTGGCCACGTACATTCGGAAGCCCTCCGAATTGCCCGGAATCCGTTCCACCTTCGGGGTTAAATCCACACACCGTAACTGGAATTATTCGAATTGACCCTAAACCAGCACTTACCCCTTAAAACTCCAAGCCCTGGGGAAGTTAATATTTTACAGACTTATAGCCCATGTTACCCAAAAAGTTGATTCCGCCCGTTTTTTTTCCTTCTTTTTTTTTTCCGGAAGGTACAATGTCAGGCAATCCTGAGTTGGCGGTTTGGATTCGGACACCGCGAAGCTTGCGGACGGGACACCACACCTCCAAAGCAATTGGAGGGAAGCTGGTTTTGGGCCAGGCAAAAGGTACAATGGAGGGGTTGGTGGCTGAACAAAAAATAGGGCCCATCAGGTTTGCTGACGCGTTGCGGGAAAGTCCGGATTGCTCCTTCCATTTCTAAAGGAACCACCCAGCGGCACCCCATGGGGACTCTGGTTTTGCAGGCCAAATACCTTTCAGGCGGTTTTCTCGCTTTCATCTGCTCAAACCGATGTGGTTTTCCGAGAGGTTGCTGGACCTCAAAAGGATCAAAAAGGGGCTCGAGGAAACCGGATCCGAGAAAAATCCTTCGGATTCGGCGCCGCGGCCTTCAAACAAAATTATCCGGCCACCCAAAGATATGGAGACCTGGGACCAAACCTCTCGCTTCCTGAGCTGATGGGCCATCAAAAAGGTATCCGAACTTTCGGTTTACCGCCAAAATGGTCCAAACCCGAAAAGTAGAAGGTCCATGAACTCAGGAAGTGAGAAACCTGCGGTTTGCCCCTGGGCGCCGGGCGGACCCTCGGAGCTCTTTGGAGCTCTAAGCTTCGCCGGCGAGGCGGCGGCCGTCCCGAAGCTGCGGTTCAGCGACGACAGCAGCGCCTGAACCAGCGGAGTGTTGACCCCGGAACTGCCGAAGATGCCAAAAGTGGGGCCAAAGAAGATGAAAGTGGACCCCTTGGAGCGTGATGTGGAGCCAAAGATGCCCAGTGCCAACACCCTGCTCAAGTGAAAAAGAAATCAACGGCAAATGGCGCGTATGGCAAATGGTGCGTGCCCTTTGAGATATCTACTAGGTCCTCCAGATTTGAGAGGTTAGAATAAGTTGGTACCCGATGTTTTTTTCTGTTTTAACTATTTTAGTAGGGGAACCCTCCCCCAAAAAAAAGGGGCAAAAGGGCACTGCTGGGGGACCTAGTTAATCAACCCGTTCGACTCAGGGTGCGTTCCCTCCAAAAGTGGTCTGAATCCCCACCACCCCCCTTCAAAAAAAAAGCTAGTAAACAACCTGGCGTCGATTCAATCTGGGCTTCCCATTTGACCCAGTTCTTTGACCGGTGGCCATGGGGAAAAATGCACGTTCTTGGAACTAGTTGACTTTGAAGAGAGCACCCCTCCAAAGAAAAAGGACAAAGGGTCTCCATCGGAGGTCTTGGTCTTCTTCAGGAACTTTCCAAGGGGTTTGGTGAGGCTACGCTTACATTGGTCAAAAAGCCTCCATACCTCCAAAAACCATACCTGGAAATGCCATTATAGCCCAGTTCTAGTAACCACTATAGCAGGTAACTAAGGGACACCACCATTCAAACATTTAAGGGATTGAAATGCCTGGCTACCCACAGAGCTGGGTCCTTCATGGAAGGCTGTTGTATGGACCCTACGAACCCATGCCCATTTGAGTGGAATTTTCGCAAGTGTCTCGATCAGAAATCGAAGAATGATCATAGACTAAAATGATTTTCACAAGTTCTGGCTGAACCATCACACACCCCACACATTTTTGGGGCCCCTTTGACACAGTTCCGTCTTGTGAACGGAATCTCCCTTTGGGAACCCTCAAACTCAATGGAAGCTGGCTCAAAAGGCCATAGATTCAATCACGCAAGGGACACGCCTGAGACACAAGAACAAATTCACCAGAGTCGTTTTTGGTTGTCAGAAATCTCCCAACAGGCCCTGCATTTTGGCATACCCTCTCAACCAATGGCTTCTCGTCTTCCAGGAGGGAGTCTGTCTGGGCTTTAAACAATTCCTGGGCTGTTCGCCTTGCCCAAAAGTCTAACTTGTAGTTTAGCGGAAACTACCGCTAAAAACCTAAGCTCCTACTAAAACGGTAGGGAAACACCAAGTATAGAATCAGAATAACGCTGTGGGGTACCATCAAACCGAATTTACCTCATGCGAGAATCATTCTGTGGATGGACGAAATGAATCTCGCACCACCTAAGAAACCCGTGGTTAAACCATTGTTCGTGGGTATTCACAGGGACATTATCATTCCAGCGATGCTTCAGTGGTGCAAGATTTCGTTCATCCACAAATGTCGCGCTTTGGAAATGTCAACACGTGTCCTGAAGCTAGCACAAGGATTCCACAGCAACTGTGGCACTGACTTGGTTGCAAAATCCAAATCTGTACTGAGCCTAGTTGGGGATGCTAAGCAATTGTCACTCGCAAGGCGAACCAAAGAGCAGTCGGAATATGGAACTTTGGCTTTCGTCAGCCAGATGCCAATCTGACTCCAATGTTTGCTCGGCAAGAGGCCGAACAAAAGGGGGCGTTTTGGAACACCTAAGGCCTTAAGGGCATCCTGAAGGGTCCCCGAAAAAGGGGTACTTGGTTTACTATGACTAAAGCTTGGTCAAGGGAAACTCCCATTTGTGACACGATCACATTTGTACCCTTTCTGGACATGGATAATTGAGAGCTTCCTGGTTTTTGTGGTTTAAACTTGGTGAGTTTCCCAAGTCCCCCCGAATGCGCATATGGGTCTCTCAAAATACGAAGCGCCCAGCAAAGTCTGTGGTTTGCTTTTAGTTTCCCGTCTTTTCCTCTCTCTCATTTGCATTTCCATTCCACTTCTCCACTTCTTTCCTCCTTCCATTTCTCAGCATTTTGAGGGCACCTCGCTTCTTTACTATTTTGCCGCCGCCCTCGTTTGTCTCTGCTGGACATCTTGACACATTTTTCGCCTGGTCGAGCTGCCGAACCATGGCATCGTCCTGCTCCTTGTTGCACCACCTGTCGGGTTTCTGGCGCACTGGGCGGAGGGGGTTATACATTGCTTGCCCCAAGCTGGCCGCAAATGAATTATTTAAACGCAAAGTAGCCCAGGTCAAAGGTTTAGAGTTTCCGGTTGTAGAGTTTCCCTTAATCATTTAGAAGAGAACTCAGAGGGGTTTAGTTTTTTGTGGGGTGCCGTTGCTGACCGGGTATGTACCAAACATGGGGGGACCCCAAGCAATTGTGGCTTCCCATTTGAAAAAAATCTAGGCCAAGGGCCAGTTGAACTGTGTTCTGAGACTCGGTGCCCTCTTTTAACCTGTGCAAAAGGGAAACCAGAACCCAGATTCTCAGCTTGAAACTTGGGGAACAAGCGCTCTTGTTCGGGTCGTTGATTCTACAGGGGCCTCCAAAAGTAAGCCCAGCTGCTAGGTGGTATCCAAGCTCCCGGACCTAGCACCGAACCTCAACTGGTCCAAACCACCTTGGCATCTGGCGAGGAAAAAACCGAAAAGGAAGCAACCTGCAGTGTCTGTAGCCCCGCCTTGGGAACAGCCCCTCGGAGAGCGCGCAGTTCCGGAGAACCTCACAGGCCGCTCAGGCGCGACTGGGCAAAGTGAATCCCAGGTCTTTCGTATTTACATTTCAATACATAAGGCCCACGGGGGTCGGGGGGGGGTGCAATATTTATACATATTTGGATCCCGTCCTCCGCCCTCCTATCCCCCCCCCCCAGAGCCCCGCGCCCTCTGCGTACTTTGGGCTGGACAGCTGTGTGGCTTCGGGCTCACTCCGAACGCGCTCCGGGCTGTCCCCGATCAGGCGCAACGAGCAGGCTAACTTTCGAGCATCCAAAGGAACTGAAACCCGCAGAAGGCAGAAGGCTGCACTTTCTGGATATGTCCATTCCCTGCCACCCGTGCACGCATGCGTGCATATTCAGCTAGCTTGGAATTAGTGCCCGTACCAAGCCAACGAAGACCAAACCAAACGCAGCGTCCCCAAAACGCATCCCCAATCAACCCTTTTTTTCTCCCGGCGTATTGTGTCCTATCGGACGCTGCCACTTCATGCATCCAATTACGACCTCCACAGGTCTGGCACGAAATCCGGCCCCATCTGTGCGTCCGGACTGGAGGTCGCACGCGAGAACCTCTACAAGTGATTGTTCGCTGAGCTAGCTCCACCTGTCCGGCGCCCTCGCATCCTTGCATCCAGGCCCCAAACATTCCAGCAATGGCTTTGTTGAAGTCGGATGGGTACTCCTTGAGCTTTGATGTCGGCCCAGCAGGTGGCAGCGTACTGGCATGCGTGCGAGCATAGTAGTCTTTCGGGCCCTCACATCCGCAAGTGAGCAGCCTTGTGGGCTTAGGCGAAACCCCACCGTAGTATCCTTGCAAAACGCCAAAGCAATGGACTCCACGGATCTGTCGCAACACGCGGGTCAGCCGCAACTTCCAGATGCTCTGCGCATCACCTCTGCGTGCTTCATCCGGATGTTCAACCGTAGCCCAGTGATCACGAACAGCAAGCACTGCAAACATGGTGAGCACAAAGAGCTTGTAGAATCGTATTGCCAGTACACACTTGGCGTAGCTCTGCAATTGTCAAGCTTCTATGTCCAAAGGGCTCTCCAACTGATCGCACCGCGCACGGTCCTCCATCACCTTCGTTGCCCCGGAAGCAAGAAACACAAAACGTTTCGCATGGCGGCCCCGCTACCACTCCAGGGATGGCTCCCTTTCTCGCAAAATTCAGCCACTCATGTTAAATCTTCTTGTCCATCAAATTCGCTCTGCGATGATCGAAAATAATGTCCACAGACCTTACCGTGAGCACATGTCCTTCCCGGACAACCAGCGCCTCCAAATGTGTCTGCAGCAGGGACGTGGTTTTTTTCCCCTGTGTTACGCTGACTTGCAAGTGTCGCGCTTGCGTCGGTAGTGAACACATCTGCTTTTGTGACTGCTCAGTAATTAGTGACTGAACGCCTATTGTTTTTCGTTTTTGGGGTAGCATGGGCGGCCCGTAGACTTGCGAACCGCTGCTCCTGCCTTTGGTGTCGGCGGCCGTGGCCTGAGCAGTGTGTTACACTATTGCAGAAGCTAATGCCCTCGCACCCGTTGTCTAACCAGGGCAAAGTTTGAGCTGAGGCCCAACATGGCCTACAGGCCTTGAACTTCTTTCGGGCTCCCGTCAGATGCGCAAGGCTAAACAAGCCCTTGAACCTGCGTAGACTTCCAGCGCAAACGACCAGCCCAACCGTGCCCTTCATGTCTCTTTTTTCCTGCCACATAGGTCTGCTGGTGCGACCTGCTTGGCATCGGAGTTGCGATGACTCGAAGTACGCTACTATGATTCTCAAGATCAGGTTCATTATCACTAAGACCCCGGTGTCTCGTTCAATTCCGCCAAGATTTTGCATAAAAAGAGCATGATATTTGCACTCGAAATGCATGTTTTCCACTCTCTTGGACATGATCGTCTAGCTGTACATGCCTACGGCACTCAAGAAGTGCTTCATGTTCATCTCCAAAAACATCCTCTTCTCGCTCAACGAGGTAGGATCAAACATCAGCACCTTGTCTAAGTTGTAGATTGTCTTGAAGTGGTCCATCAGGAACTTGTAGAAGAACACGTTTTCGGGGAAGCCCTTCAAGGCGCTGACCTCTTCCAACACCCTGAAGAGAAAAAAGTATCTCGCAGTGCTGCTTTCTCTGCAGACGCCCGTGATGAACTTGGACATCTTGTCCTCGAACTTGAAGGCCTGGCGAGACACCACCACCAGTTTCTTGTAGAAGATCGACAAGGCAATGCCGAGCGAGGGGTGTCATCTCGTTGGACCGAAACCTAGGCTCTGGGCTATGACGTGGAAGACCCCAGAGCTGGTGGCTCAGCTAGGGCCCTGGGTGGGAACGCGGACAAACCCTCATTGCCAACTCGCTTGATGCTTGGGATTCCTTCAAGCTGTTGGACAGTCCTGGATGATGCTTATGGGCTTGGTGGACAGTTGTTGTCGTTTGCTGGTTTTCTCAAGGTGTCGCCAGGCTGTTTAGGAGTTACGCCGCTTTAGCTTTTACACTGCTAGCATCTCTCTGACTCTCTCTCCCTCTCTCTCCGCAGCCGGGTAGTGTCACTACCCTGTAGAACCAGTTCGTAATAAGAACGCAAAACACAAGCGAAGGAGGTGTTCGCACATTAAGGCTCAAGGGGATGATCCACACCAGAGTTGACGTAGAGTGGTTCCCAGCTTGAGCCAAAATGGCTACGGAGCCCAATCAACCTTCCAAAGCCAACCCGAACCCAGCCCTAAACTAGCTCCAACCAGCCCCACCCACCATGCCAGCGGGGGGGGGGGGGGTTGGGGCCGAACCATATGCACATACATATATAGATACATGGGTGTGTAGTTTTGAAGTTGGTTAAAAGGGAAACCAGGACAGCTCGCCCACTTTTGTTCTCCCCGAAGCCATATATATATATATACACATATGAATATGTAAAACCCGGTGATCAGCAGTTGTTCCTTGTGGATTGAAAACTACAAACCACCTGGTGACCTACGCAGGCACATGACGGAATCACTGGTTCTATAATAGAACCCGAGTAAAGCTGGCCCGTGAGATTACCGGTATCAAAGCCACCCTTCAAGTGGTAGGTTAAAGGGAATGACCCTCAGTGTCTTTGATCGCCCTGCACATAGTCAAAAAGCATGGGCCCAGCAAAAACACATAGAAACCTGTAAACCGATAGAAACCAGTAGAAACCAGTAGAAACCAGTAGAAACCAGTAAAAGTCCCTCAAAATAGCAGGATTGGGCTCGAAAACAGAGGCTCCAACCAAACGGATAGAAATCTGTCAACATGTTGAGAAATCCTGAGAATTTCATGGTTGGTATTTGAGCGGGCTCTTCATCGCTGCTCCAACTACAACTAGACAAATCGCTTCACACAATACGCAACTAGAGGAAAATTGGCCCGAAAGCATTTTTCCACAGGCGCTCATCCAGCCGCGGAAACACCTTTTTACATCGCTGCGGCGAGCGTGTCTGCGCGCGGCGATGCTCAGTGTGTATGGTCACATGAGAGCTCCATCTCATCATCCTACTTTCCTCTCGAACTGCGCCGCGCGATTTCTCACGAAAGTGGTCTGCGCAAGCTGCATTGTTCCAGGCTGCTGCGCGCAAGTTGCTCTCTGCAAGCTGCTGCACGCAAGTGCTCTGTGCAAGTTGCTCTGCGCAAGTGCTCTGAGCAAGTTGCTCTGCGCAAGTGCTCTGCGCCAGTTGCTCCGCGCAAGCGCTTTGCGCATGTGCTCTGTGCAAGTTGGTCTGTGCAAGTTGCTCTGCGCCAGTTGCTCCGTGCAAGCGCTTTGCGCATGTGCTCTGTGCAAGTTGCTCTGCGCAAGTGCTCTGAGCAAGTTGCTCTGCGCAAGTGCTGTGCGCCAGTTGCTCCGTGCAAGCGCTTTGCGCATGTGCTCTGTGCAGTTGGTCTGTGCAAGTTGCTCTGCGCAAGTGTGCTTTGTGCAATTGCTCTGCGCAAGTGCCGGAGCTGTGGGAATGTACTTCGCGTACTATTTTTGTACTTAAAAGTTGCGATTTTCAGCCGGAGCTGTGGGGGTGTGCTCCGCGTACTACGTTTGTACTTAAAAGTTGCGATTTTGAGCTGCGGGAGCACGGCAGCTGTACGTTGCGATTTTCCAGCCGGAGCTGTGCTCCGCGTACTACGTTGCGATTTTCAAGCCGGAGCTGCGGGGGTGTACTCCGCGTACTACGTTTGTACTTAAAAGTTGCGATTTTCCAGCCTGAGCTGCGGGAGCACGCTCCGCATACTACGTCTGTACTTAAAAGTTGCGATTTTCCAGCCGCGTACTACGTTTGTACTTAAAAGCTGCGATTTTCAAGCCGGAGCTGCCGCGGACCAGGGGGGAATCGAACCCGCGACCGCGGGATTGCGAAAGCAGGCGCGCAAACCACGAGACAACCTCCAAAGGCCGTTTCGCGAGCAAGAAAATTGAGAGCGCTTCGACACGCACAATCTCCGCAGAGGGTTCGCCGAGACTAAGACAAATTCCCACGGCGCCACAGCGAGAGCGCTTCGACGCGCACGATCTCCGCAGAGGGCCGCGCGCGGACCGCAGAAATCGTAAAAAGTCCTCAGTTTTTGAAGCGCACCGCAGAAATCGTAAAAAGCCCTCAGTTTTTGAACCTCGACCACGCGAATCTCCGCAGAGGGTCACGCGCGCACCGCAGAAATCGTAAAAAGCCCTCAGTTTTTGAACCTCGACCACGCGAATCTCTGCAGAGGGTTGCGCGCGCACCGCAGAAATCGTAAAAAGTCCTCAGTTTTTTGACCTCGACCACGCGAATCTCCGCAGAGGGTCGCAATCCCGAGCGACGATCAAACTCCCGCCCCGGCGCCTTAGAAACCTAAACTAACTTACATAGCTGCTTACGCCGAAGCTCTACGCAAGCTCTACCTAACCTTGGCTCTGTGCCACCTGGCTCTGTGTCACTTGGCTCTGTGCCACTTGGCTCTATGCAACTTGGCTCTATGTAACTTGGCTCTATGTAACTTGGCTCTATGTAACTTGGCTCTATGTAACTTGGCTCTATGTAACTTGGCTCTATGTAACTTGGCTCTATGTAACTTGGCTCTATGTAACTTGGCTCTATGTAACTTGGCTCTATGTAACTTGGCTCTATGTAACTTGGCTCTATGTAACTTGGCTCTATGTAACTTGGCTCTATGTAACTTGGCTCTATGTAACTTGGCTCTATGTAACTTGGCTCTATGTAACTTGGCTCTATGTAACTTGGCTCTATGTAACTTGGCTCTATGTAACTTGGCTCTATGTAACTTGGCTCTAACTTGGCTATGTAACTTGGCTCTATGTAACTTGGCTCTATGTAACTTGGCTCTATGTAACTTGGCTCTATGTAACTTGGCTCTATGTAACTTGGCTCTATGTAACTTGGCTCTATGTAACTTGGCTCTATGTAACTTGGCTCTATGTAACTTGGCTCTATGTAACTTGGCTCTATGTAACTTGGCTCTGTGCAACTTGGCTCTGTGCAACTTGGCTCTGTGTAACTTGTCCAAGGGCTCCGCACGGAAGAACCCTTCGCGATGCTTTCGGGAAAACATTGCTCGAGCGCAAAGCCAGCCTAACTGTCAAGAAAAGTCATTCAGAATTGGTTCATTTCATGAACTGTTATCACGTATGTAAACCCTGGACAAAGCTCCCTATAAATCTGCCATGGTCATGTCTCCCTTAACAGGAATCATTGTACTCCATAGTGGTTCAGGATCCTCAGCTGGATGACCATCCCGGTATACTCCAGGTACAGGAACCGGTCTTTTAACCATGGCACAGAGGAACTTGGGTCCAAAAAGGGGGCATGCCGGGCTGCAATGTTGGTCGCAAATTGGGATACGATGTACCACTGGTACAGGAGCTTGGCCGTTGATGAGTCAATTCTCCAAGAGTTCTAGTCCATACATATGAGTTTGTCTCAAAATAGGGAGCCCAAAATGGTTGAGTTTCCTTTTGTTTATTCCTCTTCCGATACATATTATCCCTTCACACTCCTTGGAAGCCCCGCCTCAATGCCGTACCCCTTTAGAAGGGAAGACTGACATGATTTCACCGCAAGCACGCTCCCCGAATTCAACAAAATGCTGCAGCCCCCAGCGGCGAAGCCCGGAAGAAAAACCTTCACTTTCACGGGCCCATTTCCGGTTTCCGGGGTCGCTCTACGTGTGCTTCTGCTGGTGGGCCCATATGCCGTGCATAAAAACAACCATTGCAAGGCCAGTCAGGAATGCCCAGGATGTTTGAGAGCAAATCTTTTGTGACCATTGCCAAGCACCTCCAATTCCAAGTGGAAAAAACGAGACTGTCCAAATTTCTTTCCCTAAACTCTCGACGTTGCTCTTCGTGAGAAAAAGGCCGACCACCTTTTTGTAGCTATGGAAAAGCCATGTGTTTCAAGGAATGAAGACCCCCTTCCTCAAAATGGATAGCTTCTTGCGGATAAACATGGCGAGTAGGCAGGCCCCTATTGGGTACTGATTTCTTGCGTTGTTGTTTTTTTGTGGGGGGGACCACTTCTGGGTTGGCTTGAAGGAACACCAAAGGTTGGTTCTCACCCCCAATTTTTGGGGTGCTCCCTTGCAAGACACAATTTCTTTGCAGCTGAGTTGCTAGAGTCTGCAGCAGCGTGCGCCCAGACAAGACGGTCTTGCGCAGCGAGACATGAGCAAAGCAAGCCACGGTCTCGGGTAACCTACCGGTAGAGTTGCTTCAAAGCTAGCCAACCCAACAGGGTGATTTCTGAACGGACTAATGAGTGGGCTTTTTTCCGAACAGTTCCCAACCACGAACTTTGCGATTCGAAGATGGCGCAAATGTGGTGTCCCGTGACCCAGAGCCGGCTGGCAAGCGGAGCCGTTGCAGCCAAAGGTGACAAGTAACTTTTCTTTAGGAGTCATCAAGGACCACAAAGGGCCATATTGTTCCCATGACGTCCGTTGCTATTGGTCTGAATCAGCGTTACATTGCGTACCCTTTGTGCCTCTTATGTACTTTTTTGGGGGGGGCACCTATGCAGAGGTAGATGGTTGGGACCTTGGACATCTGCCGAACCCCAGTTATGTTTGATGTATGGTAGCGGCCACGGCTCCGCTGAAAACAAAGTCTGGAATCCGTATTAAAGCTTTCTAGCATCAGGTGTTGCTCATCCCAATCATGATAGGTCTTAGACCATACATGTATTGGTATGTGGTGTCAGCGGAAACTAAACATCTGTCACACGGTAAGTTCAATCCTATCTACCTCAGCAGGTGAAAACCTTCGTATATAGTTGCCGAATTATTCTACCCCTGTATATAATATCATATATATAGATATATAACCCGTCGATGCTCAACAGGCCTGCAACCACTCAAGAATGCTCGGCTTGCTGTTGAACCACACGGCAAACCATGAGCAGCCTCTGGCTTCCAACGTGGCTGCAAAGGTTTTTCCATTGGCCTTGCTATAGCAGGGATCCTTAGATTGTACACCTGAACATTGCAACTTGTAAATGGCGGTGTCCAACTTTATTTTGGTGTTGAAAAAGCAACATGTTTCAAACGGTTGCAAGATGTGTCTTTTAAGGAGCCCTGTATAACCCCCCATGAAGAAATGCAACCGAAACAAGACCCCGATCTCGCTTGCTGAGTGGATAGGAAGCGAAAGAAGTCCAAGCTGTTTGCCGCTAAAATGGTCCAAGCCCAAAAAGTGACTCATTTCTAGGAACTCGGGAAGTGGCCATGGATCAAAACCCAAATCGTATCCCCGGTGAACATCAACCAATCCAACCACTAAAATAGGTCCTACAATGGGTGGTGAATTCACCTACCAACCAAAATGCGATCCCATTGGTTTTAACCCACAGCCAAGTGAGTTCAAGGGTGCTCCACTTCGGTCCTGCCTCCAGCTCTGAATCGTTGAGACCACCTGGCCGCATCGAGCAGGATGTACCGACTCCAACAGGTTGACCAAAAGGTCCTTTCCAGTAGATTTGCTTCAGTCCACCGGAAAAACTAAACATATTTCCAGTAGTGATAGGATCCCTTTAACACCAACAGGGGAAAACAACAAATATTCTTTAGCAAATGGAAGTGTCCATCGGGTTTGTCAAAAACAATATTATATTTCCCCCTAAATAGGAAAAGCTGCCCTGGGTGATTTGGGGGCCGAAGCGAAGATTGATCAACCCTGAAATGAGGTCCTTGGACACCATGGATCGCTTTTTTGGAGGCCGACCAGAAAAGTTGAAATTGCACTTCTGTCGAACAGAGATAATGCCAACCTGTTGTTTGAGAATGCTTGAGATGACCCTCAGTCGCAACCACCTTTTGATCTATCCGCCGCAAACGATTCTGCGCCTCTCCCCTAATATATTCTTCCATAAATAGGTTCTTGAATATACCAATCAATCTGAATGAGTACATAACCGAAAAACGAATGAACAAAACAATCAACAAATGTATGTATCACATCCTCGTATAGTGGAAAAGGATTGGACAAAGGCAATAATATGTTTGGGGCACATGCGGTTTCCACGGGCATTTGATGTTCTTTGTGAAGGACGCTCACAATCATAAGTGGACTTTTGGAAACAACAGATGGGCCTGGTACGTAGAATGAAGCCCGTCTAAGCCAGGTCCATCTATGTTTAACCTATGCTCACAATGGCCCACATGGACATGTGCTCGGGCGGTCCGAGGCCTTGCCAAGCGAAATCTCAAACGACCAGCCCAAACGCTCCCTCGACAAGTTGTTTTCTGAGCCTATCCCCAGGTCAATCCTCTGGCTCCGGTGCTTGCAAAAAAACAACGAAAAAAAAAAAAAAAAAAAAAAAAAAAAAAAAAAAAAAAAAAAAAAAAAAAAAAAAAAAAAAAAAAAACATGCCTCACAAGAAAACCTCAGATGCCCAGCCTTCTCTGGTTTCTTGAGTTCAAAGGGGAGCCCTTCCCCCAAAAAAGGCAAAAAAATCGCCGCTGAGCAGGTGGGAAGAGATGGGCCGGACAAGGAAGGAACCAATGGGATCATGCCAAACTGACTCGGGAAGGTGCCGGAAACTGACTCAATGGGATGACTCATAGGGGTCAATCCCTTCCCTCAGACCGGAGCTGGATTTGTGCCGGAACCACTACTGAAGAAACCCTCGCCGAGTCGCCGCTCCTACTTTCACGCAAGGAACGTAGGATTCTGAACACCATGATGAGCAAAAAAGGCAGGATGAATCTGGCGGTGTTGGAGCCCCAAAAGCGACGGATCCTCAAAATGGGACTCTTGACCAACAACCAACACTTCATCTGGGATCAACGTTGCACTCCCACCCCCTCCCACTCGGAACAGGAACATGGGTGTGAACCAGAATCTCACTTCCTGAGGTGGCCACAAAAAAGCACCGATTCTGTGTTCGCCACTAAAACGGGCAGTCCAAACAGTAGAAAGCCCGCAATAGGGATCCAAATTCTCCATTCTGGGACAGCCCCAACTCACTATCAATCCTTTTTCTACCCTACGAGTAAAACCTAGTTGAAAACAGTTCCACTTTTCCACCCTAACCTGCAAATCATTTTGGAGGAGACCCCCCCAAAAAAAGAAGAAGAAACAAACCTGAGCCTGGGTTCCTTTGCAGGTTAGGGTGGAAGATTTTGGCCCCAGGAAAACCGACAAAAACTGAACTCTGAGCCGCTCTTCTACCTTCAGCGCGTCCGCTCGCCGGCCGCGGCCTTCCACCCGAGCGCTCGGGCGGAGCGCTCCGCGCCGGCGCGCCTGCCGGGCACCAGAGCGTCAGGGAGCTCAGCCGGGAGAACGCGGGCAGGGCCTCGGAGCTGAAAGCGAGGGAGGAGTCAAAGATATGAATTCAAGATGAGTTTTTGTTGTTTCAAGATGAGTCTTTTTCTCTCTACCCTTTGATTGTTGTATACGATTTCAATGAATTTGTTTCTTCTTTTTTTATCTACAAAAGAAAGATGAATTAGAACAACGTCAGGGCTTTCAACATTAACCGAATCTTGGGATGTGCTCAGGGAATGAGAAATGGAGTTTGGCCCCAATGTTTTTAACCATCCCGGATTTGGCTTCCCTTTAGGGAATCCGAATTTGGGATGTGGGGATGGCTTGCCTGCTTGTTTTTTCTTGGGATCGGTGCGAGAGATGCAGGGAATGAGAAATGGAGCTTGACCCCGATTTTGGGCCAACCATTGGGTGTCCTTTGAGGAAATCCACAGGTTCATTCCCTCATTCCCCACTGAGCACCAGCAAGTTTTGACAAGGGTCCGGAAATGGTGGACAAATTCGGTGATTCAAGCAACCACCAGGGTAGCCCATTTGGGACGCTTCTTTAAGGGACCCAAAATGGGCAAAATTCGGCGGGGATGCAGGCAACCACCAACCACGTGTGAGGTTCCACACCCTAAGAACAAAAGGAACATGTCTGGCTACCTACTAGCAGTGGGATGCACTAAGATGCAACAGGACCGACCCTGTGTGCGGCACAACGAGCACAATGACCCTTTCGGATGGGCGTCAAAAAAAAGAGGCAGCGCTTCAAGTCATTCTCTGTCTTTTTACCTCGAGCAAAAATCTGGCAGGGACCCAGAAAAGGGTGTGGACACAAGCAGCCCCAGAGGTCCGAGCAGGTACCTAAGGCTAATGCTCAAAATTCGCAGGGCTCGGGCTTCAAGATGCCTTTTTGACGAATGATCACCCTCCAGCCTTGAGACAGAAACAAAAACAAATGTTCCGACAGGCGGAGGCTACACATATGGCAGTGCAAGCCGGAACCTGTTTAGAAGAGGGCCGTTCTCCGGAGACTCTGGCACAAGCACCCTTTACCAAGTTTCGACCCGGCTTCGACCATAACGGCCAAAGGAGCAACCATTATCTTGTAGCACATCAAAACTGAGAAAGAACAAAAGCTGAGAGCGCCCCCAGGCTTCTTTCCACCCCCCGCCCCCATTTCTATGATCTAGGAGTGCAGGGTCACAACTTGTGCGGGTGATGGTAATGGACATGGTCCAACATCCTAAGGTTAAACACGACATTTCGTCGTCCGAAGTCCGGAAACTTCACCATCCAATGCCTGGATTGGTCGCAACCATGCTCTTACACATCTCCCCTTGGGGGAGCCCAAAGGAAGTTCCTGGAATGGGCGTTGAACTTATGCTTTCCACAGGCAACCAGCGCCCCCTCTGGCCGTGGAAAAAAGGAATTGCGCCCCCGGGACCTCGAGGTTCAAGGGCCCCCGCCAAAGAGTCCACCGCGGGCTTGTGGGGCCTGCACCGAGAGCGCAAGTCTCCGATTTGCCAAGGACGCTCGGGTGTGGGGGCGCCGAAAACTGGGTTTTGCTTGTGGTTTCCCTGAGAGCCGACCTCAAACAGGGCACCTTTCCAGGCCCTTCCCCACGCTCCAGGAGAAACCTCCAGCTTGTTCATTCACTCGCTGGTTTGTGATACGATACTCAATAATATTCCCAAAGAGGTGAACCAGTGGCCGCCGTTTCTTGCTTCATGTGCTGGCGATGTTGAGTTTTCCCTTGCCAAAAAAGCCTACTAAAGCGGGACACCCCTATTAATGAACCAGGGGGGTTACTCTCCCCCAGACTAACATGGAAGCGCCCACCCTTTGGAAGACTTGGTTCCATTTACAGAGCCCAATTGGGGGAGCTTCCACGTTAGTCTGAGGGAGTATCAATCCAGAATCAATATTACTTCCGTCGCCAATCCCTCTAGAAAATGGTTTGGATGAGCTTGTGGATTTCACATGTTCTTCCCCCGATTCGATTGGAACCCTTGTTTAGTAATATTTTGGTAGTACTCTTCTAATATTCTCCCTGGTGTTCAGTAGGGAATGACTGTTCCGGGTTTTGGGAATGAACTGTTTTGGGGACTCCCCTAAGGAAACCAAATCGGGGATGGTTTAAATCGGGGCCAAACTCTACTTCTCATTCCCTGCCTATCCAACGAGCAAGAGCTCAAAAAACACATCCCCACATCCCAAATGGACTCCCCGAATTTTTGACTCCTCAAAATACCGCCACATCTTCGCCACGTCAGATCCGCCACATCTTCTAATGTTAACCCCGGATTAATAAACCCCTGGTTGATTCATAGAGGGTGTCCCCTTTTAGTGGGGCAGACCACTTTTGGAGGGGTTTCCACCCCCCGAAAAATGGGACGGGTTCTACTTAGATCCTACATCTACAGCCTCCCAACCGCCGACTCCGACCCGGGCGAGGGCATCCCGAGTCCCCCGGGCCGGGCGGAGGAATCCAGGCGCAGCAGCGTGAGCCGGGCGCACTGCGCGCCGATGGAGCTCAAAGCCGCCTGATGGGCGAAGCGGGCCGAAGCTGAAGAGTGCGACTGCGATCCTCGGCGCATATGTATATATATATATATACGTATAGGTGTATCGATGTATATTATAATATCAGAAACCAATGTCCTGAGCGTTGGGTTTTTTGGGGGAAGCCTCTATCCCAAAAAACCGAAGAAAGAAACCTCGAGGAAACCGAACAAAACCCAAAAAACCAAAAACACCAAAGATATGACGGAAATGTTTGGTATGGCAGACTTGGTGGCACCCCAATGCTCAAGAGATCTCAAACCGAAAAAATAATCGAGGAAACCGGGAAAAAGACATGAGGGACATGTTTGGTAGGGCAGACTTGCCGGAAGTATTTGTCTGAATGTGTTTTTTTGGTTTCCTCGAGGTTTTTTTCGGTTTGAGATCTCTTGAGCTTTGGGGTGCCACCAAGTCTGTCGTACCAAACATTTCCCTCATATCTTTGTTTTTTTTTGTGTTTTTTTTGGTATCCTCGAGGTCTTTTTCGGCTTTCTATAGGAAATATTGGTTTTCTTGAGGTTTTTGGGTTTTCTACAAGAAATATTGGTTTTCTCAAGGTTTTTCTAAGGGTATGCCCATAGTATTCCTCGTCTCTTATTAGGGCAACACTAAAACAATACTAGGGCAGTACTAGGGGAATGCTAGGGCAATACTATAGAAATACTTTGCGAATGTCAAGGTAATACTAAGGAAGAATATTAGGGGAATGCTCAGGGAATACTAAGGGGATACTCTTAAGCTCAACCTGTCTGAGTTCTGTTAGTTTCCTTGCTAGGGCGACCATAGGGGAGTACTCAGGGAATACTAAAGGTGAATACTATGAGAATACTAGGTGAATATTCAGGGAATACTCGGAGTATACTAAGATAACACTTTAGGACTGCTAGACTAAGAGTACTCCCTTAGTATTCCACTGCTCTTCCTGGACAGTTTAAAGGGAATACTAGGAGGGTAGTGATGGAAATGCTAGGGGTATGCCAAGAGAATACTGGCAATACTATGGAAATACTTTGGGAATGTCAAGGGAATACTAAGGGAGAATATTAGGGGAATGCTCAGGGAATACTAAGGGGATACTCTTAAGCTCAACCTGTCTGAGTTCTGTTAGTTTCCTTGCTAGGGCGACCATAGGGGAGTACTCAGGGAATACTAAAGGTGAATACTATGAGAATACTAGGGGAATATTCAGGGAATACTCGGAGTATACTAAGATAACACTTTAGGACTACTAGACTAAGAGTACTCCCTTAGTATTCCCCTGCTCTTCCTGGACAGTTTAAAGGGAATACTAGGAGGGTAGTGATGGAAATGCTAGGGGTATGCCAAGAGAAGACTAGAGTTATACTAGGGCAATATTAAAGGTAATCCCCTAGTATTCCCCTTCTCTTACTGAGCAGTTTAAAGGGAGTACTAGGGGGGTAGCGATGGAAACGCTGGGGGTATGCCAAGGGAATACTAGAGTTATACTAGGGCAATACTACAGGTAATCCCCATAGTATTCCCCTTCTCTTGCTGAGCAATGTAAAGGGAATACTAGGGAGTAGTGAAGGAAATGCCAGGGGTACGCCAAGAGAATACTAGAGTTATACTAAAGCAATACTAAAGGTACCCCCCTAGTAGTCCCCTTCTAGGGGAATAAGGAGGAAATACTACAATTATACCAAAAGCATACTAGGGCAGGCAATACTATGGAAATACTCAGGGAATATTGGGGCAAGACTAAGGGAGAGTGCTGGGGAAATACCCAGGTAATGCCGGGGATATTCTTTAGCTCAATTTGCTTGCCTTCTCTAGTTGCCTGGCTAGGGCAATACTAAGGGAATACTCAAGAAATGCTAGGGGAATACAAAAGGTAAATGCTGAGAATAAGGGGAGTACTGAGGGAATACTAGGGGTATACCAAGATAATATCTGAGGACTAGCAGACTAAGTGTATTCTCTTAGTATTCCTCTTCTCTTACTGAGAAGTTTAAAGGGAATACTCGGGGGTGGGGGGGGGGGGGGGGGTAAGGGAATACAATAAGTACAAGAAGTAAATACAAGAAGTAAATACTTGGAGAATACTAGGGAATATTCAGGGAATACTAGGAGTATACTAAGATAATACTTAAGGCTTACCAGACGAAGAGTACTCCCTTGGTATTCCCCTTCTCTTTCTGAGCACCTTATGCGTGCCCCAAGAAATTGCTCATTTCCCCTTATGAAAAAACAATCGGGCAGTGTCAGATGCAGATGCCAAATGCAAATGCTAGATTGAATGACAGACACAGATGCCAATGCAAACACAAAAGGAACAAACACAAACACATGAAGAGCTCAGAGAGGTCAATGTCCCCCCAATCAAAAAACAGCTGTTTTTGCGTAAACACCCAACGCTGGGGACATTGGCCTCTCTCTAACATATATATATATATATATATGTATGTATACATAAGTGTACATGTATATGTACATGAATCATATACATCATCATTACTATTATTATTAGTAGTATTATTATCAAGCAGGTGCGGTAAATGTGTGTATGTGTATGTATAATGCATATATATGTGTGTGTTGCACATAAACAACAACAAACACTATGTATGTGTTCATGTACACATATTATATACATATATGTACGTTAATCATTAATTTAGATGTATTTATCTATTTACTACTTCATCGATGCTGCTCTTGTCTATTCACGTTGCAGCCCCCCCACACACACACACAAACAAAAAAGCACAAACACAACAACTAATGTCGTACGTTGTTGTTCAAACAACGACAACAAAAACAGAGGAGGACCCCCTATCCCTGTGGCACTATATTCATCTATACCAATTTGCTGTGGTCAAAGCTCCGTATATGTGCCATGGTCGCAGTTCTCTTCACAGGCATTCTTTATACAGGTTGTCTACACTCCCTGCTCCATAGTGGCTGGCCATGCCGATTTTAACCCCAAGTTGCACATGTTCTAGGGGTTGATGCCCCATTCTTTTCAACCATCGTTCTTTCCAACAACCGGCCTTTTTCCCTGGGTTTCCGGAGGTTTTCTATCAAGAAGGATCCCTGGAAAAAATGGGGAAGGTACCCCTAGACATGTGTGAAAGCTACTCCCCCGCAACCTTGGGTCTCCCAACGATGGTTTGTCATCAAGGAGTCCACATGCGACATGTGAAGCCAGAGTCAGAAGTCCTGGTCACAGCTCCCACGTCATGTGTTGTTTGCTGAACTGCCCTGCAAAAGGATGGAGGACCCCTTTCTTTCCCCGAACGTAAACATGTGTTGTGACCATGGCTCATATGAACCCATGGCCCTGTAATGGCCGGATGCAACCATGCAATCCCATGGCTTTTTCACCATATCAATGAAAAGCCTGGATCTTGGTATGGAGTTCGCAGAATGGGCGAAGCGATGAGCGAAAGGAATCGAGCTTCGGCCTTGAGGTATAAACTGGGTTGGTTTCAAAGGCGCCCTGCGAAACAAGGGCAGTGGTTTGATGTCTCCCAAAGGAAACAAGATGAACTTTCTGGGACTTCGGACTTCCCCCCGGTATGCTGGACACATAACCTCCCCCTCCTACAACCATGGTTTGGTGCACGACATGCTTCCTCTTGGAAACGAAGGGTTCCTGTGCTCTTCTGAGTGTTTGACTCAGAATCAGTAAATCCGGATTGCTCCGAGCCTCGAGCTGCTATAAGATGATCAACATTCAAGGTCAAACATGTTTGTTTTCTTCGAATGTTAGGTTGGGGGCCGAGGCAAACCCTCTCAGGCTCCAGGTCAGCATTGCATGTTCTCGGTTTTTCGCGTTTCCGGGGCCGTGTTTTTACAACTGGCGTTGGGCTCATATGGATCTTGCGCATTGAGTTGGAAGGCCCGCTAAGCTTGATGCCCCAGTTGTTTCCATAGTGGCAATGGCCAAACTGGGCCCTCTGCTTTTCGGCAGTTGGTTTTTTTTTGGAAAGGGAGACCCTTAAAAAAAGGCGGAACAAAGCACCACTGAAGGTCTGCTCAAGCAATCTTTGTAGGTTGCTTTGCGCCAGGGCTAAAATGGCTAAACCAATGATTCACTGGGCGTCCGATTTGGACTCTGACCCATGGCCAAATTTATATATTTTTAAAAGTCCAGCGCTCGAAAAAGCGCCCCAGTCGATCGCCTGCACCGCGGCGTCGGTGTCGCGGGGCGGCAGCGTCACCGCCAGCTGCTCAAGGACCGGGCAGTTGGCAGCCACCGCCTGACGGGGGGGGGGGGGAGGGACTTGGACTGGAGCTGGTTGAGGGCAAATCGCTTTCCCTCTTGGTGGTTTGGATCAGAACCTTTGGTTGGATTTTTTGGATCAGAACCTTTGGTGGTTTGGAAACCAAGGGGAAGCCACCAAGTACCCTGGGAAAGGTGTGGTACAACTCCCTTGGTGGTTTGAAGCCCTGGCTCCTGTAGAAGGCAAATGGGCAACCCCTCCTTAACCACCAAACCTCCAAACCACCAATGAGCGGGAAGCTGAGCAGATGGGGATCTGGAACAACTCGAACAATTACCACGGTTCCCTGGGATAAAATTCTACTAAAAGTCATGGGCGTTTCAGCCTTAAAAAATCGCTTAAAAACCGCGAAAGATGCGGCCCCACGAGTTTATCACTGGGGTTCCAGCTTGGCTTTATTCTGCTTCTCAAGAAGGGTTTGATGAACCAGAAGATCAGTCCAACTCATTCCCTGCCTTAAACGCATTCGACTAGATTGCTTTCTTTCTTTTACCCCGAAATCAGTTGGAGCGCGGCTCGGCTCTGGCAGGCGCATCGGGGAGAAAGGACCCAGACCCACCCCATTTACACCCTAAGTTACTAAGAAGCGCCTTCAAACAATATACACCCCGGTCTTATAATTAGCCCCATGTATACTTGGTTGCTGTTGACCCCCCTGCAAAAAGTTTAACTTCTTGGGGTTTAGTGGAAAACACCATTATTTCCCAAAAAGTTAAAGTCTAAAGATCCAACCCAATAGCAGTCAAGCATATATATATATATACCCTGATTGTATACACCCATTACAACGCCCGGAATATGAAGGCTGCATGAACTTCCCCCCATGCACCCTACCCAAACGGAGCGACCCGAAACCAAAACGGCCTCCAAGGCGGACGCAAAGGCCACGTCCTTGCGCTGGGCAACGCGCTACTTCAGTTCTCCGTATATGCGGTTGCCCCTAGAGACCCAAAAATATCAGTTTAACCATGACTAACAACGGGTTAAGGAAAAACTAAAGGTGCAAGTGAGTATAAGTTGGATTGTGAACCCCTGGGCGAATGGAAAACCACCGTCCACCCTACAAACCACCAATCGGTTTTCTCGTGGTACTTTTGTGCTCCAATTTGTTCTCCCGCAATCCGTCCACGAACCAGCAAACAGGAATCGCCCAAGTTGGCCCGTTGGGGTGGACATGGTGGGGCCGAATCTCCCTTGCGAGGGAAATCCCGCAACACTTCAAAGGAGGTCCCCTTGGTATCGCAGAAATCGGCCCCAGAATTGTCTGAACCAAGTTCTCCCCAGTGCTGTTCTTCTCTTCGTCTTTGTTCCCGTCCGGCAAGCCTTCTCCCACGGACCCATACGCAGCGCCTGGTCCACTGTACATCCACCAGCGCGCTTTGTTGTAATGTGCGCTGGTGCAGATGTACAGTGGACCAGGCGCTTGAGCGTATGATTGCGAGCTGCACCGCTGTACAAGCGCAATCTGGCAGAGTGCAGGAGGTTGACATCTGGATGATATGACCGACCGCGGGCCGAGGTCCCCGTCTCAAGATGTTGGAAGAACTTCTCCAAGTTCTCGGCGGTGAAAGCGTCTTTCGTTGCCACGGGGGTGCTCACCAGGCCCTGACGGAGCAAATGCCCCACAAAGCCTCATAGGTCCGCCAGTGAAGCTTGAATCCCCAGTCGACACTGCCTCGGCGATGTCACTCTTGCACACATTTCAGTGTTTTAGCTTGGCCTCTGCCAAATTTGACTGATGGCCTTTCCCCACCCACCCAACAAATATGTATCCTATACAAACCACGCCCATTTGAGCATGTGCAAAAGCGGGGAACCGGGGACTCCCTTGTTTGGGGATCCATGTTTATCTGTAAGGGATTGCGCTTTGTGCCGAGTTTGAGTGAGTTCACTGTTCACTCCCAAACAACCTTCAAACAGACTAAAATAGAGCATGTTTGCAGGTGTGTTTGGGTGGTGGTGGTGTGTTTGGGGGTCCTAGGAAAAGTTCTATGAGCTCAAATCGGCGTATCTTGTTACAGACATCTCCTTTCGCAACCACGGGTTGAGGTGTTTTCAGCAGTCACTTCGTGAGATGATTGGCCTGCAAGCTCCCGGACTTGTTGTTTACCACTGCAAAACCTCAGAGTTCACTCTGACCCCCAACCACCGCATGTCGTTTGTTGGGAACGTGATCTCCTGGAAAAAGGAAAGGCGGCAGGAATTTTTTGGGGCATGTTCATTCAACGGACCGGGCGGCTGAGCTTTGGGACCCAGTCCCTTCCCAGTCAGCCCTGCAAGGACCTCTTTGCACCAATCATGGAGGGCACGAGGATGGAACGCTTGTCCACTACTGGATACCTTCTGGAGACTGGTCCAATTTTGGGTCCGGAGGTCCACAAGTTGGCTGGAGGAAGGTGCCAAACCTGCCCTTCAAGTTGGCCAAGCCTCCTCCCTTCCCCGCAAACTCATAGGACCCCTGCTCTTCCCGCTGTTCACCCCAAACCGATGCTACCCCAAGGAGCAGTTGTATATGTAACCCGCGGCTAGCTATTTGGGGGTGGTTTGGGGGTGGTGGAAACCATCTATTCTGGGAACTCGATGCTCTTGTGCATGGACGAACTCCGTTCGCACCACGAAATGAAACCATGGTTGAACTCACAACGTTTGTTGGTATCTATCGGGGAATCATCATTCCAGGTTTCTTCAGTGGTTTGGTTGATGTTGTTGGTATTTGCAGGGGGCATCATTCATTCATCATTCCGTTGGGTTTCTGAACGGTGGTGCCGAAATGAAGTGTTCGCAACCATCCACGGCCACTGGCCTTAAGTTGCAAGGGGGCCAAGCTGCGATCCGTGCGGCTCAAAGGCCAGGCCCAAAAAAAAACCATGAGCTAAAAAAACGCAAACAGATCTCGATCCAGGGGCGGACAAAAAACTGCCATGATCAGCTTCGCAGTGGTCGAGGCGGATGAGTGGCTGCAGTGAAACTGCATTGTTCTTAGGTGCAAAAGAGATAAAGGAAAAATCATGAGACCAAAGAGGATCAGTTTGCCTCTACTGTAATTGGTGGTTTGGAGCTTAGGTATCCAAACTGCGAAAAAGAAACAAGCCACCTGATATGACGAGATGGAACACCAGAAAGGGACCTCCATCTTCGGGGTCGGAAGCGGATGTTGAACAAAACCCTGCTGGGATGGATGTAGCCCTGAGCCAGGAGTCTTCCAAACCCGCGGTTGAGTCAAGTGTGCCATTCAAGAGAGGATCCTTTGCTTTTGGGAGAAACACACCCGTTTCATCCAGATTTTGGTTTCAGCAGCATGAGCCTCCCCTCCCAGTGGTCATTGTAGGGCTTGGCACTCGTTTTGGTAGTTGACTCTCTAAACGCAAAGAAAAAAACAAACTCTCCAAACAAGTTGATGCTCCCCCCGCACAAAACAAAAACAAATACGGAGAACAAACAAGTTGCAACAAGGGCCCGCACGCAACCCACCGGAGGTTCTGAGTTTCAAGTGAAGCCTTCCGGACTCCTTGATGCCATCCAGCAAAAGCTGCTCCAATCCGCTGCCATAGGCTGCCACCTCGAACCACGAATCCGAGAAGTTGGCGACGGCGTCTCGTGATCGTGAGGCGAAGCCTGTACCGAGCTATCAGGGTTCCCAGATGCCCAGTGGATTTCCATAGGAAAAAACGAATCGGCATCCTTTTTTGGTTGGTTGACTTCAAAGGGAAACCCATTCCCCAAACCAAAGTTGAAAAAAGGGCACCACTGGGCAACTGGGCCAGTATAAATTCCCTTTTGTTTGGAGGTTTTAAAACCTCAGCTGCGCCATTGAAGTTGAGTTTCCTCAGGGACGATGCTTAAGGGGGAAAGATCGGGCGCCCTGTAAAGTACAGGGGTGATACGTGTCCGACTCTCTCGGCGACTCGCCTCTTCGGAAGACAGCGGATTATGAAAACTGACTCGTGCTCACATGATCGTCATACATATGTGTATACATATGTACATGTTCTACATATATATGCATATTATACATATATATACATATATATTCTACACACACATATATGTAGAATATATACATATATTCTACACACACACATATATGTAGATATGTATATACATATATTATACGCAAATATATATATATATATATATATACATACATGTACAATGGGCTGTTCAACATGGCGGGCTGGCCAATCCTAATCCATAATCCCAAAGGCAGCTAGAAGAAGGCTGCTTGTGACTAAGGATTGCCCTTGAAACAGCCGGCATATCTATATATTTGCACCATATATACACATATCTACACACATACTTGTGTATATATATAAACAAAATACATACTGCTCACCTACCGCAAGCACATGTTCCTCACTACGAGATTCTGCATCTTCCGACTTTGCGTAATGAGGAGACTCTGAACATAGGACAAATTACGGTCACAACACTCGTCAGGAGGCTGACCGTATCTTTTGGGCCCTCGGTCAATTGGCTGATCGAGCAAGTTGCAACCAAGCTTGGCGCTTGACGTACAGGTCAATGGCAGCTTAAAGCGACACAAGGCAGTCAAAGACAAATCTGTCGGGTCGAACCACAAGCTTCGTCTCCCACAGAGCCATTCCAACTGGCAACGGCTTGATGTGAGTCATAATCAAAACCCGGTATTAACATGATATACCCAACATATACATATAAAGAAATCAACGTAGGACCTGGCGGTTATATATATATATATACATATGTTCAGAGGGTCCTCCTTCAAAAAAGATATCCGAATATCGTCCATGGCACACTCCACCATGAATCAGGGCTTGAGAAGCCCACCTACCTGAACAGCCCCCAAAAAAAAACACACACACACACACACAACCGCATAAAACAAGTCTGCTTCTCCCAACATGACTCCTGGAATTTTTTGGGGTCTGATAATTCCATCGCTTGCGCGCCATGGCCCTTGGGTCCCCGAACGATGTTCTTGAGACACGGAGAGTCCCGAACCTTCCGCGGGGCCTCGAGAGGCGGAACGTTCGACGTATGGAACCGATGGGGCCTTCGAAAGGTCTGCTCCGTAGCGAATTTTTGGGAGGCCTTGGTTTCAGGATATTGGAGTGAGTTGAGGGCGAGTTTTTTGGGGGAGGTCGGTTTTTGGGGGGTGTTTTTTGGTGTTTTGAGGGTACCAAACTCTTGGCGGAGGGTGGTTTCAGGGGAGTTTCTAGGGTGCCTTTCTGCGGGGGAGGGGGGGGCGGTGTTCCTCTGAGAGGTTTGAGGCAAAGGAAGGCTTTACAAGAAGCTTCCGTTGCACCTGAACCGCCCAGGTCGGCTTAGGGCCATAGGGTTTGGGTTACATGGCCTTGTGAACTTCTTTAGACTTGGACCAGGGGTACCAAGGTACATACCCCTTTTACATACCCCTTTTACATACCCCTTGGACAAATGAACCCCTGAGAGGCCTGCTGATGTTCATACCATATCCTCTCCCCAAAAGGGGTACGTACCCCTCACAAAGTGGGCTGGAACCACGGAAGCCAAGGGGTATGAACAAGGGGTATGTAGTTCCGCCCTTAGATGGACACAAACAGAGTCAAAGTCAGATCCCGGTGTTGGACGAGAATGGAACTAAAAATACCCAAACCCTATTAACCTGGTCTGAGAGGCATGTCAACGTGAGAGCTAGGCCTGGCGGCAATGAGAAGCGAATTAGCAGCTCCTTTCATTTCTCGCTGGAGGTTTCCCCCATTCGAAGACTCGAGCCGGGGTCTCTTCAAATGACGTGCATAGGGTCCACTAAACATGGGAAACATGCGGGTGTGATGTTTGATAGTTCACCCTAATATCCTTTTGGTGGGGATTTATGCCCACCAACCAGCTTTGAGGTGTTTCCCTATTGAAAGTCATAGCGCCATATGAAATATGTTTGGTAAAGCACAAGCGCCGAGGTAGAGAGGATCTAAGGGACTCCGCTCTCCAACTAGAGTATACCTTGAAGGATGGTTTCAAGGGGGGGAACCTGGACTTTCCACAACCAACGCCCCCGAAATCGGTGATTGGCGTTGCGCCAGTAGGTTGTGATGTACCCAGTTGCCCAAAGACCCCTGAGGGGATCCGCTATCCCAAAAAGCTGAAAGCACCAGTGGCTGGCAACTTCAAAGAAGGGGGGTGTATTAACAAAACAGATTTATTGTTTGAGGGTGCTGTGGGTACAGGGGGCACCTTAGGATGCACCACTCATCCACTCAGCACCATCCAGCAGGGTGCCCGTAGAAAGTCTGGTGGTTCAATCGGTGGTCTCCACCTCTCAAAAACTACCTGGTTCTCAGCATTGAAGGAGGACATGACCCCGATTTAAACCATCCCCTATGACTTCCTTTAATGGGAATTCCCAGGTTCATTCCCAACACGCTGGGTCATTCCCTACTGAGCACCAGCAAGAATCTCGGCCTAAGGGCAGCAACCCACAAGACTAAACAACACCACAATTTCTGGGAAACTCTGGGAAACTCAATCAGCCATCCACCCCCTTGAGGCCTGGAAGCGCTCGTTTTACTCAGCTCGTGAAAAACATAGTGCGTGTTTTTTGTGAAAGGAGCCAAATCTTCATTTGTTGCGGGTCATGTAGTCACGCTTCCTTCAAGTAAAGTACCCTTCCAAGAATCATGGAAGCAAAAAGGGGCCGTGCTCAAAAGGACTGTACTTGGTTGACGTTGGAAGGGGAGCAAAAAATAAGTTTTAGCAGTTAGGAGGGGATTTCAACCACTAAACCAAAAAAAGCAAAAATGGCAAACTCTTCTGTTGGCTTCCCGGCTTGGAAGTACCATTTGCCACATCAGCCTCTGGCAGTCTGGGGACGCCGCCGGCGGCTCCCAACAGCCTGCGGACGCCTCGTCTTCGCCTGCCACTCGGGCAGGCATGACCCCTGCTTGGCATAGATTCGTTTTTGAAACTTTCGTTCGTAAAGGGACAGATAGGAGTCAGAATGAGGATTGAGGATTTCTTTTCAACCTCAAATAGGAATGAACCCCGAAATGGGTGGCTTCTCCCTTTCCGTTGGAATGGTGCAGGTTTATTCGCCGTTCCCAACTTCTCACCTCCGTACGCGGGAGGCAGCTGCATGCTCGGCGGCTCCGGCAAGCGGCTTGGCAGCCTCGGAAGGGTGCTGCGTATTTGTTTTGTTTGGGAAGGTGAGCTTTTTTCTAGGGGTGGATTGCTTCTCCATCCTTTTCCGCCATCGTTCCTTTCAAAAACCAGCCATTTCCCCATGGTTGTTGTTGGTTTTCTAGAAAGAAGGATCCCGGGAAAGAATGGGGAAGTTACCCCTAGACTTTTTAACGAGAACAAACAAGTTACAAGTTCCTTCAAAAAGAAAATTAAGCCAAAGGATGGGTGTCACGGGGCTCTCAAAGTTCCCACTTCCGGTACACAAATTTTGGAGTTGGGCCAAAGAGTCGAAAGTGATGTTCCTTGGCTTGATGGGATCCGATAAAACTTGGTGACCCCCCTCTGCGAAAGGGGTTGGAACCAAAGTTCTGGAAAGAACCGCTGTAGATGGCCACAGTTGCCGGAATGAACCAGATCTAAAGTGCGTCCTCACACCAGCATAGATCCCTCAAAAAAAGGAGGCCCAGCGACTTTTGGGGCAGAAGACAAAGGGTCTCGGCCCAGTCCCGCTAGGAAAAAACATAGAGACCTCGTTGTCGCGTCGCGCTTCGCACGCCGGGCGAAGCGAACCACCAGACTTCAACAAAGTCCGCAGCATTTCGAGCTACCTAAAACCATCGAAATTCTTGGTGTAGGGCCTTCCACAATTGGGCATGGGTCAAAATTAAACCGCCCAAACAACACAGGTTTGAGTCAGTCTTTGTTTCCATTTACCAGGGCAAGCCATTCTGGGGTTGGCCTATCTTTGACCCACTCCCGGAGCAAAGATCCTCCGCACCTGGCTCTTTGTCGGCATGAGTTTAGGAGTGCTATCTCCGATGTTTCACCCTTTCCCGGCCTCCCCTCCTCCCTATACAAAGCCCTAACTTACGGTCTTAGTTGGGCATGTGTCAAAATAGAACATTCCCTTACAAGACTACCTTCCGGCGATTTCCAGCTCTCAGGGGCGCTAAACGTGGGTGCCTGTTTTCAGATTGGTTCAAAGGGAGACCAAAACAAAGCTACTTGTGGGGCACATGTGTCTTGAAATAGGGAACCCCCCCGAAATTGATGGTTTCTCTGTGGTTTCCTACCAAACTTCTTTGCCAACCCCAGGAAATCTTTTGACCATGGCCATCTTGAGAATTGAGCGGTGAAAATGACTTCCTTCCCCAAAAGAACAGGGACAAATTGCCGTCCTGAGGCTTTTGTGGGAGGGCTCCCAAATGAACCATCATGGACATCTTGACCGAACCTCATATAGAGGGTGTCCAAAAATAAGGGGCCTTAAAACGGTGACCGCCCCTCATACCTCAAGGTCTCCAGAAAATAAGGGGGGCTAACATGGTTGTCTTTTTTGGTTGGTGTTCCTTTAGTCACCACCAAAATCAAGCGCCGTCCCCCCCCCTCCCCATACAGCTGACTTAGGGCTGCCGCCAGCTGGTGGGCAGCGGCGACAGCGAAGCACTCGACTGAACCTCGCGACTCGAGAAGCGGGGCTTCAAATCCCCAAACTAAATCCCCAATTCAGGATCCCCTGGCGGTTACCTGGGATTTTTTTCCCCTGGCGGCTACTGGGATTTCAGGATCCCCTGGCGGTTACCTGTTTTTTTGTTGTTGCAAGACATGCAACTTGCTGTCACAGAACAACTCGCAACCATATGTGCCAACTACTGTGGATGGACGAAATCCTGCACCACTTGGAAACCATGGTAAACCATTGTTTGTTGGTGTTTACAGGGGAATCATCCTTCCAGGGTTTCTTAGGTCCACAGTATGTTCACCACATAGTGTAGTGCGTCCAAAGCCTCAAAATCACTTCCTCGGGCCTGGGGTCCAGCTGCCATAGCACTCGGGGTTCATTTCGCCACCAGTAAACCATGAACGGCTCAGACCATCAAAACAATAGGTTTACCCAAGGATTGTCATCCAATTTGGGTCAACCTTTCATGGGGGTTGAACCTCAGGGTTAATGGATTGGCGCGAAAAGACCACTCAAGCTTCCCGAATAGTGCCACTAACATGGTGTGTCCATAAACTGGGCTGTTCAAAATGGAGGGTTGGCCCACCCGATTTTCTGCGAACATCGTTGCACCCCTCTCAACTGAGCGGATGCCCCCACAGTCAACCTTCACACCCCCAAGTGACATGGGAGGAATGTACTTGATTTGGTATGCGTGCCAAGGTCACTCACTTTACCCTACATGAGGGTGGACGTTTGCTCATGCTTTTCTCTATTCAGCAGTCTTTCAGATCGATTCCCACCTTGTCAGGGACAAAGGGACAATACAATACTGGCATACCTTGAAACGGAACCCTATGCTTTTGGCGGGGCCGGCCCCCAAAACAAGACTACAGAGACGACCAAAACAAACATGAGGGGTCTCAAAATCATTTTTAGTAACCGGGGGTTTCCCTTGGTTTGGACAACCGAAAGGAAAACCGGTTTGCCATATTGGGTCTCCAGCTCCCCAGTTTGACACATACCCATTTCAAGAGTATGGTGTGTGGTTTCCCTTTTTCCCTCTAACCAGCCAAAAGGGGTCCGTCATTTGGGTATGGGTCAAAATTGAACCACCAGAGGACCGCATACTTAGTTTCCATTTAGGGCGGCAACCCATTTTGGGGTTACCCTATAACCCACAGCCATTTGGAGAACCCCGCCCCTCTCGCAGCTCCCTGAGGTGCTGACACTGCCAGTCCTGGTCAGCACAATGGGCAGGGGCCCCACCGCGTCCACGCCGCTGTCTGGCGCGCCATGGGAATCCACGAATTCGCAGCCAGCGCAGTCCATGGGAAGGTCATGACCCTTGGCCCACAGAAAAACAACTCCAATAAAATATGTCTGGGTTTTGTCTGGATTCTGTCTGGATTCTGTCTGGATTCTGCTTCATATATTTAGTCTGTGAAATAAACAAAAAGATAGCTTAGGAGATCCCAGTGGTCCATTTGGCCCCAACTTGTGGCTCTGAGCGAAATCAGCCAGCCTCTTTTGGTGGAAATCAGCTACTCTCCCATGGGCTGGTGCACAGACCCCTGTAGAAAGACTACTTTCCTGTTGGAAAGGGCCTTTTTGGACTTCCGACTTCCATGTTAGATGGTGGGAGGGTACCTCTTAGCGACGAAGGCAAGTGGTCGCCCGAGCCCATCTCTTCCTTCGCGGCGACGGAGGCTTCTTGAGAGACATCTCAGACATTACCGCTTCCACTTCACGAACGTGGCGAGCAGGCATCTGCAGCAGAATCAGAATCCCCGGTTTGCCACTGGTGGTCACAGCAAGAAAGCGCACGCTGAGTCATGAGATAAAACAATCACTCGCCACGGCAAACCAAGACTGCATACCAACTGATCACAGGGGTCCCGGTGATTTCTTTTGTTTTACACCTCACCTCCTTTCGAAAATTGAGCCAATTCAACCTGAGTTTCCTGCAGGGATAGCTGTATCTGGGCAACTTACTATTCTCAAGAAAACCGTTCAGGGCTTGTTGGCATGGGGTCCAAATTCCCCTGGCCATAGTCATGTTTCATTTAAGGAACTTTGTCCCAATGAAGGACGAACCATATCCAAATTAATCAGCTAGGTCCTCCGGTAGAGAGGTTAGAATAAGGATACCCTTTAATCTTTAATCTATTTTAGTAGGGGAACCCTAAGGGCACTACTGGGGACCTAGGGTCCATGACCGTCTTACGAACCGCAAGTAAAGAAGTGTGCTCTGACCATGGCACAGACGGGGCGTTGCAAGGGGTCTGCCCGTGGGCATGTGAGGGCATATTGGGATTTCAATTCATGTGCCCACAGGGACACAGTTGCTTCTCTTGAAGGTGCGCGCGAAAACATACCATCTCTACTCTTGGTATGGTAGCAAAAAACTTGCTTTTTGCAGACCCCCAGTAAAAATGAACAGAACCAAAAAACTAAAAAAAAACAAAAAGCATGCCAAGAACAGTGAAGATACACAATGGTGACCTTGCTAAGCTGGATTGATCCATTTGTCTCCACCTGAAGATTGCCATTTTCCCAAAGGTTTTCAAAGGTCGAAAAGAGAAGTCCCTTACGCTTGACATTTGCGGATCGCATCAGCAAATACACTGATAAACAAATGAGCGCCTGCGCTCATTGCACGAGCTCGCATCGCCGGAAAGTGGCGTCGAAGCAGCTCCAATAAGAATGATATTCGAGTGGATGTGAGTTCCTTTTTGAGAGTAGCCCTGCAAAACCGGCTCCGAAAGGGGTACCCATCATTTAAAGGGAATTTCGGTGTCCCCTATGTTGAGACACACCCATGTCAAGTTGAAAGGAGTTCGTGAAACACCGCCCTACAAATAAGATTTAGGCTGTTCTGCGGCTGTTCCCTGTGTTCGTCCGTCAAACGTTGGAGCAGTTGCGCCGTCAGAGAAGCGCATCTAGAATCCACCAGTGAATGCATCCACCCTTGGACCCGGACAACGGCAATTTGCCAGCGGCAAGCAGGGTTGACTGCAGCATAGAGCATAAGAGTGTCAAGAAAAAATGCTCAATGCTCTCCTGACATAGAAGTGCACAGGCCTCCGGGAAAAAAAAAAAAAAAAAAAAACACATAGCCTTGTTGCAGGCGAAACACCAGGATTTCCAAACTGCTCGAGCTAAAATCGTCCCCTCGCTGCAAAGGACCTCACGTTGAATGTCTTCGGCACCCAAGTGGTTTGTTTTCCCTTTCAACCCCCTTGAACCGCCAACAAAAGGCTTGACCAAACAAAACACAGGCCCATGTTGGCTTAGCTCCAACCAGCGGACCAGTGGACCAGTCCTGATCCACGGCTCCAGTTGTGAGCCCCCAGGCTCGCACCTCACGATCGCTCGCAGCTCAAGCGTGGCCGGGGCCACCCAAGGCCAAGGCGCCCAGGTGGTCCAGGTCGAAACACTTCAAGGGCGGCCGGTCCTGAGCCCCGCAACGACTTTCGGCGCATGGTGGAGTGGTTTTGGCCGAAAAGGCAACACGACTCGAGGCAAATCCGTGGCCCAAACCACAGGTGCTCAGACCCGACCTTTAAGCTGCAAGTCACCAACCCATGGGATTCAAGAGGTGTGAGATATGTTTGAGGCTACCGAAGCCATGGGCACGACAGCCTTACTCAGCGTCGGTAGGCTACCACATACGGAGTGCTCGTCATATTCCAAGAGAATTTTTTTTCAGGCGGCTCCAGGTCCCGAACGGCGAGCAAGGCTTGCCAGCCAGCATCCCGGCACCGAATTTGTCTGCGAATTTGTTGAAGTGGGGACCCGTGCTCAAGGATTCCGTACATTCACCTAAACCCAACGCAAGCTAAGCCATGATCACAAGGGGCAATATGTTTGTAACAATTTGGCCCCTCATATTATCGAGGGACCCTTCCAACAGGAGACCATAGGACATCTTTAGCGTCCCGGATCTTTAACCACTCGGCTGGGGACCACAGGAAGTGCATTTTGTCTGATTGAACAATGCATTGATTGTTTGGTTGCTTGCTCCTTGCTTGCTTCTTTGCTACCTTGCTTGCTGATCGAATTTTCTGTGGTCTGTCTTGCTTGTTTCTTTGTTCGTTCGTGTGTTTGCTTACCTGTTTCGAAACCAAACACGACTATGGTAGTCAGCTTCCCTCTCATTGGTGCTTTGGATTGGTGGTTCGGTGGGTAAGGAGGTTATCTCATGTACCCTCTTCAACAACCAACGGTTCAAATCCCCAAACCACCAATCCAAACCACCAATTAAGGGATACCTACGGTAGTGTGCTTGTAGCTTTTGCTATAATAATATGTATATATATATACACCTATATATATATATATACTCAACAAAAGCATTGACTTCTGTATGTTTGCTAAACAAATACCATAATAAAAACTCTTCCACTCCCTCCGCTTCCCTCCGAGGCGAAAGCTGTGGCTGTGCTTTCGGAGAGGATGTCCAGCGCCTGCGCCGTGGCTCGCAGGCACCAGGAAGCGTTGAGGCCTCGCCGTGAATCCGGCGTATGCGACCGTGAAGGCTTTCACGCCGCCGAGGGGGCGGAACAAGGGTGGCTAGGACAGGTTTCAATCAGTGTGCTTTGGTGTTTTGTCGGTGTGTTTTCGGTGATTCTCGGTACACATCGTGTTGTTTCGCTGTTTTGCCCGAATCCCATGGCTTTATATTTGATGACTTCGATTGCCTTTTCCTTACAGACCAGAGGTGGAAAATCCTCCTTTAAACGAGGGAAATTCGGATTTCTGTGGGCTCCTTTTGGCGGAGCAGTTCTTTTGCTGAAGACCTCAGCTCACTTCCAAAAAAACCCTAGGGCCTGAGGGTCCAGTTTTGGCGCCTGTTGGTTGCGAAATCCAGAGACGGCCGCGCCAGGAAAGGAAGCGAAGTGGTTGGAAGCCATGAGGTAACGGTCGGTATTTTTTGCGGGGCAAGCCGAATCAGATTAGGTGCCGCCAGAAGACGCCCCAAACAAATTAGAATGGGGTTTTGCGGGACCTCGGCACCAGTTTGCAGTTCGCAGAATGTGATGTCAACATTCAGCCCATGTTAGCCCCTTGCATTACTTACCCCTTAAAACTCCAAGGATTGGGGAAGTTCTCACCTTTTACAGACATATTGCCCATGTTACCCCCAGAAAGTTACGAAAAGTTTCGTGTTTTTAAGAGGTAAGATTACCCCAGAAAATTGATTAAGCAGGTCTCGACATGAGGCATTTCGTTCCAGGGCCTTTGAGGGCGAAACCATAGGGGTGTGGCCTTTTTTCTCTCACTGGCTGAGTGGATGGCCCGGAAAAAGTAACCGAACTTTATATTTACCACTAAAATGGTCCAACCCCAAAAAGTTTAAAGTTCATGAACTGAGGAAGTGAGTTCTAGAAGAACCCCTTGCTTGGTTTTGAAGGGAAGCCACATGGAAAACCCGCCAGGATTCCAAGGCGGCCGCTGGAACTATGGAGAACAAACTCGGGAAAAGGAAGAAGCAAAACAACGCAACCCAGTGGTTCCATGTCCTGGCAGGTGACCAGGACAAAGAAAGACCCTTGAAAAACCAAGAGGACAATGGCTGGTTACTTGCTATAGTGGTAACTGGGACCTGGGTAACATCAATCTCATTGTAGAGGAATCCACTTTTGGGTAACCCCTTGATTGGTCCATGCTTTTCTGGAGGTACGTGTTAACTTCGGATGAACCATGACAGGAGTTGGGACACTGGTCGAGCGTTGGATGCACCTCCAGACTCAGAGTTTGAACTTGGATGATCCGCTCAGGAGACCTTGACTTCCGTTACTTCGAGTAAAGTCCGAGTGCATTACTTGGGTGCTGTAAATCCTGCAGCAAAAAGTTTAACTTTTTGGAGGCTCAGTGGAAAACCCCATGATTCCCCAAAAAGCTAAAGTCTAAAGATTCAACCCAACAGCAGTTAAGATTACATGTTCCAATCAAAGATGCCGGGTTGTTTTGGGTCTGGTATTGTGTTTGGAGTTGTCTTAAAGGGAAATCAAACAGGAGATCGTCCATGGATTCCCTCATCTTGCTTTGAAACTTGAGTCCTTAGCCGTACGTCCCGAACAGTGGGAATCCCTGTTATGCACATGTGCCAAAGACATGAAGCTTGGACCAAACCTGAGAAGTCTTCCTTGCAAAAAGGGCCAAGTCCCGCCGGAGCTGCGGATCAAGCTGCTGCGCATGAATAGCAAAAGTCAACCGGGACACGAAAAAACCATTCGCCCTGCAGCTTCCTGCAGAAACTGGCTTTTCCTGCCCGCCTGCAAAAACTGAAAACGCCCCTGCACAAAGGGAACACCTGCATGTGGAACTTGGATGTTCGGCCAAGCTAAGTGGTTAGTCACTTGGGTTGTAACCCGCTTTTTCACCAGGTGAACCCCACTTCGGGAGACTCATAAGTGTTATATAACCCAGGCTGCAACTTACTGGCCGAACACAGAAGGGTCCCTTTTGCGCGCTAGACATCTTTTGAGTCGGTGCCCTTCTGAGGAAACCAAAGGGAACACCCACCCATTGTCCGGGGTTCATTTCAATGTAGGTGGGAAGCTCTGGCAGATCAACATGGAACCAGCCATCATTCCTCTAAAGGCAGATTCCGCTACAAACGACTGACCATGTTTGGTGTTCAGGGTGCGCGCGTGACCCGAGCTTGCTGGCCGGAACAAGCTCCATCTGAGTTGGCCCATGGACACTATTCGATTCGGACACCCGGGCACCCTTTGGTTTCCCTTAAATGCGATGGGGTCCGAAACCCATTTGAGCAACTAGTGGGTCGCCATCTGCGCGCACGGAAGAATCATCGAAAGCTTTCGGAATCCCCAAATGGCGATTCGAATGGCGATTCGACTGAGGCGCGTGCGTTCCAGGTTCCGGCACCTCGGCTGAAATGTGTCTCGAAAATCACAGGCTCCGCCTCCCTCTTACCACCCCCAGGTTTGTTTTGAGATGCCGCCTGCTAACTCCTACCCCTGCGTTCCAAAGGCCTTGATGACCGGATCTGCGGAAACTGCGCGGGGGGGTTGAAATCCCAGCTGCCGTTGGTATGCGCAGCGGCGCGACGTGATGGGACATCCGACTCAGGTTTGGACGTGGTTTGCTAGCTTCTGGGTTTCCCCGGTTTCAGCCATCCAAAAGGATGGGACAAACGGCAAGGGCCGAATTTGAGCATGTCTTAACCATTACTGTTTGAACACCATCATTTCGCTGTCCCGTGCAATTCGGATCCATGCGCTGTCCATTGCGCCGCATTCGCCTCCCAAGTCGGCCCTCACCTCTCATCTCAGGCGGGAGCTCCATGATGGCCTCGAAGCACTTGTCGGTGATCTCCGTGTTGCAGACCTGTGTCCGATTTGTTTTTTGGGGGGGACTCCCCAAAATGATGTGTTGCTTTTTTTTTGGGGGGGGACTCCCCAAAATGGCGTTTTTCAACTTGTGGTTCGCCTTCAAAAACAAAATTTGGAGGTTTTCAACAAATGAATCTTTTTTGGGGACTCCCCAAGATGGAGGTTTTCCTTGTCTAGGTCCTCCAGATTTGAGAGGTTAGAAGAACTTGGTACCCGCTCTTTTGTTTTTTTCCGGTTTTGTCTATTTTAGTAGGGGAGCCCTCCCCCAAAAAAGGGGAGAGAAGGGCACTACTGGACAAAACCTAGCTGTGGCTCGCCTTCAAAACCCACCAAACACGGGGTAGCCTGAAAATAGACACACCTACCTTGCGACTCGATCGAACGTGGGTTCTATTCGCCGATTCCCATGCATGCATTCCGATTCCCCTGGCGAATTCTCTGAGGCAATTTTGATTTTGGGAGACGTGAGGCACCCGCTAGGTATAATCCTCAAATCCATAGAATTAACTGGGCGAAACAAACGAAACCTTGCAAATCCGTGGAAACCCTGGGCAATTGCGACCAAACCTTGGTAAAAAGGTCCGGATGATGTCCGGATGTTGAAAACTCTGCTTTCCTGGTGTTCAACATGGTGCGCAGGAAGGTTACTGTCTTCCATTGCTGAGAAAAGGATGATGCCCTTTCTCCGTGGGGGGTTCTTGGTAGAAATCAAGAACCACGGGTCCCAGCTGAAGAAGAAAATCCCCACTAAACAGGAGCGGATTGGCAAGTGGGGGAGACAATCAGAGGTAGGGGTCAACTTGAGGGGCAGCCCAAGGAGTTGATGGTCCAGAGGTCGATTCGCTTTGCACAACCGGGGCACGAGAAATGCCTGAAAGATGTAACGAAACTAGAGCACAAACCAGCAAGCAGGCAGGCAGGCAGGCAGGCAGGCAGGCAGGCAAGCAAGCAAGCAAGCAAGCCAGCAAGACACAACTCAACAAGCAAGGCAACACATCAAGCATAACTTAAATCTACCAGTCAATCAATCACAAACAAAGACATAAACCAACAAAACACTAAGCAAACAAAACGATCAAACAAATGGCTGTGGGTCAAAGTTAAGCAACCAGAAAAAAAAGAAAAAGGAAAAACAAAAAGAAAACAAACAACGCAGATTTGAGTTCATTCCAGAAAACCAGGTTGAATTTTGGGTACCCATTTGGCTATGGCTCAAAAAAGTGGTACCAACATGGCACCTTGGTAAATGGAACCCAAGACTAAAACCCATTTTTGACCGCAGCCAGGCCCGCGAAGCCGATTCCGCGAGGTCCATTCCGAGAGGTCCATTCCGAGTGCCCGGCACAAAGCGTCTGCAGCCTCTGGCAGTGGGCGGCCACCGCCAGGATCCCCGCGTCTGTGAGCTTCATCGCCCACCTCAGCCGGGTTTCATCGGGTTTCATCGGTTTCTCGGGGAGTATTGGCCTCGAAAACACCCAACTGGTTGATCAAAGAGTCCAATTTTTACGTGGGACCATTGAACACCACGAGAACACGAGATGTCGCATGGGAAAAGCTGCCCATGCTCCGTTGCAGGCCAACATAGATCATACCCCTGGTGACCCATTAAATGGGGAGAACATCCACACTAGGCGCATCGGTTGTTGCTTGTGTACTACGGCCAATTTGTTTTATACCCTCCTATACCCTCCATGGACATGGGTAGATCAAAAAGGCCCCCGGGGTTTTGTGGGAAGTGTAGAGAGTCCCCACATGTCCCGCCCAAATTGACCACTCGACATGTTCACTGAATATTATATGAGTGTGTCTCAACATACGGAGCACACCAATAAACAAGGGGGAACCCGACCCAGATGGCTTGCAGGGTGGGCATTTTCAGGAGAAGAGCCACCCCCCCCCCACAGTTGCCAGGGTTGCTCACAACTGGGGTCCCCACAACTCTCAAATTATCATGATCAAACCCGTTTCAGGGAAACATCACTTTGGAGTGGGCTTCTATTTTAGAACACGCTCACATCAAACACAGGGTTGCTCACAAAAGGGGACATGGTCCAGCAACATTCAAACAAGAAATGGGCGCGTCTTGTCCACCAAACGAGTTTTAATTGGCTTCCCAAAATCTTGGAGTCAAAGCAAATGCATATGTTCAAATGGGTCAGTTCATCGCTGGTCCGCAGTCGAGCAAAACTCATCAACGCAACCTGCGATCCAGCGGAAATGTTAACTTCAATGGGAATTAGGGAATGACGCCTATAAACTATAAATAATCCCCAGCTTCCTTTGCGAAAGGTAAAACACTGCAACCTGAAACAGCACACACTAACTCTTTGGTTTGGTGTGTGGCATGCAGTAGGTCCACTTCTTCCCTTGAAATATGTTTCCTCAAAACAACAGTATGAATCCTTTGGTGAGATATTATATATTTGCCGAGACACCTTAAGCAGCTTCTTGAAACTTGTCCCCAAAGCTTTGCGAGCAGGTCTTGGGCAAGTCTATCGCGATTCAAAGCCGGCCACTGGATGCACTGATGACATGACAAACCTAAAATATGAACACTATGCATTGGCACCTCAGTTTGCAAGAGCAATTCGATTTCGTGTCAATTACCTCAGTCAAACTGAATCAAAATTCGCCCTAATCATCTCAGAAGACCCAACGCTTGGCATACGTCTTGGCACTCTTCTTCATGACCTGCTTGCTTCAACGAGAAGACGTTGACGGTGTCTCCCTTGCGGAATTTCTGGCATTCTGACAACGAGCAAGCAGAACGTAGTGATGCGTCCGAGCACTCATTGTGATGAGAACGTTGCACACGGAACCAGGCAAAAGTCTGCTCGAATGGCTTGTGTTCACTCCCTGCATCTCCCTGCGGTCTCTTCCCAATCTTCTTCACCACAAGTGGCGAGCCCTTGAAATTCTGCGTACCTATCGACAGCCTACGTCTCAACATTTGCCGACCTGTGGTGAGCATGCACGAGAGGATCACGGCGAAACTCCGTTTTTAGTTAGCTGGTGAATGTTCAGTGACCCTGGTAGAAAAAGGGAACCCTTCTTGGGGACCATTTTTAGAGGGGAAGCCCCCAAACACAAAGGAACAACAAGCTCGGTGCCGCCGAACAACTGGGTTAAAAACCACACACGTGTGAAAAAAACAGGAGCCTCCACAACGTCCCCTTCTGCTTCCTTGAGTTTTTCTGTTTCAGCCCCTTTTTAAAGGGCACCTTAAACAATACATTCATCTTTCTCTTCGTCACTTTTGATGTTCCGCTGATAAAATACTTGCTAGAGCTCAAACAGAAACACCTGCTCTCGTTTGATTTCCGGTATTTTCCATTTAACCCCCACCCCCCCCCCCCCCCGCCCCCCGCAAAAGAAAAAACAACAAAATAAAAATAAACATTAAAAACAAACAACTAAAATTAAAATAACCACACACACACAAGACAAATAAACAAATGCAACAAGTCGTGCCCTTCAAAGGCCTCCTTGCAACAAAAAGTGGGCACCCTACAAACGGTTTTAAGTTCTTCTTCTTCAGTTTTAGCGGTTCCTGTCATTCCACCTAGTGATTTATGAATCAATGTCTTCATTTCTTGCTCTATGTTTACTTTTTATTTTGCTTCTGCAGCTTGACGCAAATTGGTAGAAAATCTCCTATTTTGCATTGTTCCTCCAATGCGTTTAGAAAAGAACAGTTGTTTCCTTCTTTTACTGTGTAGCCAATACCTTTCTCCATTATTTTATGTGCTCTTAAACTTGATTAAGTTGACGCACTATGATTATGTTTTCAACCTGATATAATTTAGCGTCAGGAGTGAATTATAATATTTCCGTTTTTGTTGTTTTGTTTATATATATATATAAATGCGTTGCCCTTCTCTGTGAAACACATGGATTCTGTCTCTTTACCTACAGAAACGTCACTTTCTTCTATAATTTCTATTTGGAATTTATGGTTTGTAATGTTGGTAAAAGTTGATCTGTAGAACTAGAAGATCTGAGCTATTTTGTTCATCAGTGCTAGGCAAAAGCAATCCTTAAAAAGCACAATACAATTAGATATTCTAAACGACAAGCCTGATAAAACTTACTCTCCCCGACTAAGAAGTACCAGTTTCACCTTCGAGTTCGGTATGGGATCTGGTGTCAAAGCAATAATTATCAGGCTAGTTATTTAGAATAAGATAGTTAAGTAAAAATAACACTGCGTACAAAAAACTGAAAATAAACTGCAGAAAGTACTGGAACTATTAGTACCAAGTAAGCTAAATGCATTACTGCAATTACAGTTTTGGCCTATCTACGTAGTCGTCTACTACGATTCTGAGAGGTCTATTCTTGAGAAAAGCTTCCCATTTAGATGCTCTCAATGGTTATCTTTTCCACGCTTGGCTACCCAGCTGCGCCGAGCGCTTGGAACACGACAACTGGTACACTAGAGGCATGTCAAAGTTTCAATCCAAACGGCGCTTTGCCCTTTTAGCCAAGTCTGGGCATTCCTGGCCCCACGTCGAGCACCTCCAGCTGTGGGGACCGTTGGGCGATGTGCTGGATGCCCTTGTCCCCTACGGCGGTGCTGGACCTAGGCTCTCAGGGCTTTGGCGACAAAGTTGGCGGCGGGTGTCTTTTTGTGGCATATGGTATATATATGGTTGTCCTTTTGTATATATGGTATATACATGATATATATATATATATGTGTGTGTGTGTGTTAAACTCAAAGTGACTGTGTGAACAACCTGTTGTTTGACCTGTGCGTGTCAACACGGCCAGTGTAGCGCTTTTTGTGTCCTGGGCAATGTCCATAGGCTCAAGGGCGTGATGTACAAAGGCATCGAAGGAATGTCTGTACAGCAATGATCTGTTTTAACACTCCTCCTCGGATTGTACACATCTAGTCTAGTGTACAAAACGCCAATCATGCGGTACACATCATCTTCGCTTGTCGGAATGTAGCAAGAAGGTTGGCCATGTGCCAGGCCAGTGATCTATGCAACTATGTCCCTCGCTGTGCAGATGATCTGTGCCCAAAAGCTCGGTGCGCCCTCATGGCAAATGTACTTCACTGCATGAGAAGTCTCCTGCCCTGATTCACCGCTGTGCTGAATTCCATGCGCAACTTGTTCTTGGTCGCGACATAATGTTGGAAGAAAACATTCTGCTGTTCCCTGATGCGCTCGATGTGGTCTGGATGTCCAAGGCTTGCAGCGCTCTCTCCAGTGTGCCTTTGATGTCAATGCTGTTTGCCGCCTGCATGGAAATGCGGCGCGCACGTGTGATCTGCTTTTCTGCAGGAAGGTACTTGATGTTGTCCACACCCCTGCGACTGTCATCGGGTTCTGTAGCAAGTTGTGAGATGTCGATGCAGGCATTGTGTGACCAAATGTAGCCGCTGTGCCAACTGTAATTCATGCGCAGGCCAAGCAGTCCATTGTTGCCGATGTACTTGAAGATGTGGTGCCTTTGCAGCTCATCCTCGGTCTGCATCCGGCCCATGTTGCTGTGTACCTGCGTGTGGATTGCACTGTGGCCACGATTGAAAAAGCGAATGTAGCCTCTGAAGGCCCGTTCAGTGATGCGCCTTGCATCCTACTGCACTTTAGCATGCCAAGATGCTGTGTGCGACAGATGCGCGTGGAGATGTAACAAACGTGTTGTAACAAAGGGGGCTGTTCAGCACGTAATCCCTTTGAGTTCCTGGCCCAACCGTGGATGCACTTGATCCCCATTTGTGGTCCAAGCTGCAAACTCCTCAAGTCTCATCGCCATGTACATTGTGTTGGTCTTGTTGTGGACTGCGTCCAAATGGATCCCTTCCAATGTGCGAAAAGGTTGTTTCCCTGTAGTGTTCTCCTCGATGTAGCCCAAGGATGTGAGACTCACTGTGCTCCACGAGCGATGAAAGACCTGTGGTCATGGCCGAGAATGTACCTCGATGTACAAATGCCTTCACCTGAAATGTAAATCAAACCATTGTCTGAAACATGCACAGTGTCTCACGCAAAAGATGGTCCCAAAACATGTAAAAGGTAGTCGAAGTAGTTGTAAAAGCGAGGGACGATCCATGGCTAGGTACACCCTAAAACATGTAACTAGGCCGGCGGCTGATATGTAGTTGTGAAACATACACACGCGTGCTGCGCAACTGTTGTTTAACTTACTGCGCACACTGTGTGAAACTGGTTGTGGTGGCCTCAAAGGCCAACTGCATACGTGTGTTTGTTGAGTGTACCACAGCCAACAAACTTGGTGAGAATGTCGGCTGGGTTCTTCTGGTTTTACCTTGTGCATTGTGGTGAGTTTGCTCTTAAGTTGTTGTATGAAGAGGTGTGTGCCGCAGCTCGATGTGCTTCGCTTTCTTTGATGTACCTTCTCTCATTGCGATTGATTCTGCTGCGCTGCTGTCTGTGTGCATCCTGATGTTGATGCGTACTTCGAATGCTTCTTTGATGAAGTTGCTGAGGCACAGGCTCTCCTGCGCTGCTGTAGCAACTGCGTACAGTTCTGGTTCTGCTGATGAAAGTGCTATTGCTGCCTGTGTCCTGCTGCCAGTGTACTGCTGCTCCAAAGCAGTATAACACAAACCCTGTTGCGCTCTTTCCTTGTTGTCTCACACAATGCCCAGTTGGCATCTGTGTATGTGTCAATCTTGAGTGGAATTCGCTTGTCCTGTGTTTGCATTTTTGGTCGCATCATGTGTGTGCTAGCCACATTGTTTTGCCAACAAGCCGCCTGTATTGTTTGCGCTGTTTGTGGTCGAATGGTGCTTCATCCTCTGCTGTACCTTTCATGTGCGGCACTCCTGGTGATGGTGCTGGGTTGCATGTAGTCATTCCTGACTCTTCCAGGATTGTGTCCACATAGTTGTTGTTCAAGCTGTTGTCAATGTAGTTGCCTTTGTGTGAAATATTTCTGCCAAGGAAATGTTTTGTTGATCCAACTGTTAGCTCGCCTGTGTGTCTCAGCAGTACTTCTTTTTGCATTCTGCTGAAGAGCGTGTTGATGATGCTCTGTACTCTATGAATAGGAGGCCGTCTACATAAATCATGACGTAGGCCTGGCAGTCTTTTGACCTGTAGACATTGCTTTCTGTTGTGCATCTCACAAGTTCAAGTGCGACTGTGAGAATGTGTGCTATGTGGTCTTGCCATTGTTTTGGTGATGATCTTAAGCCATAAATGGCTTTGTTTAGCCGCAACATTGTGTGTCTGTTTTCTTCATCGTAGAACTCGTGCGGTGGTCTCACTACCAAGTTGTAGGAGATTGCTGCTGCATGTAGGAATGCAACACTGACATCTCCTGCGCAGTCCGGCCAGTTGTGCACCAATGCCATTGTGAGAAGCACTCTCAGTATGCAAAACAATGGTGTACTGGCAAGGAGTAGGTCGTGGTCTGCAACGGGTTCTGTGTAGCCTTTTGCTCTTTTGCTTCTGTTTGTGCTCGTACTTCGTTGCGTTTTGGTTTACAGCCTGCCCAAAGCTTGTCTGATGTCTCTGCTTGCTGTGTTGTCCATTCGTCTTCTAGCAATCTTATGTTGCGCTCATCTCCTACTGGTTGTGCTTTGGTCTGCCTCCATGGTGTGAGTCGCTTGATGTGTGGTCTGGTACGTAAAATTCTGCGCGTGGCTCAATGTGTACTCTCTTCCAGTATGGGCCTTCTCTGTGCCAGTAATCTCCTCCAGGATGTACTTCTGAAGGATGTGGAAGCCCATGTCCAGCTGCACCTTTAGTGGTGTGTGGTGCTGCTGTGTCCCTGATTGTTGGTGGTGTTGTTTTCTCATTCAATCGCTTGCGTGGGTTGTGTTGGATCACTTGTGGTGTGACCTGCAGTGGTGCGCTCTTTGACTGTGTCTTTGTTGCAAACTGTTGCTGTAGTGTCTCTGGCAGCGTTGTGCCTTTCTTAGTCCTGAATGCTGTTTCTCCTTTCCACATTTGCTGTTGTGCTTTGTGTGGCATTTCCATTGTTCGACACTTGTCCTCAAACGTGTTCGTTGTACCATGCTTGAATCTGATGGTTGTTCTCCTGTAGTCCTCAAGTTGTTCTTCTGGAACTGGACACTGTGCTCTTCATGGTGTGAAGAGTGTCTTTCTGTATTGCCTGTGTACTGCATATCCTGTATCTGCTGGACCTTGCGGTGTTAGTGTTGTGGACGGCGCTATCATGCCAATTTGTCCTTGTTCTGCGCTGTGTATCTGTTGCTTGGTTGCTTTTGGCAATGCTGTGATTTCTGCTTGTGGGAAGAACAGGGCATTTCTGTTCTCCAATGTACTGTTGAATCCTTTGGTGAGCTGTAGCCTTGGATTGTCATCCAATGTGAGTTGGAAACCTTGTTCCACCAGCCTTGCAACCCGAATCCTGTTGTCTGCTGTGGTTTGTCACGCAAACCCATCTGTACCCATAAAGCTTGATGTGCTGGTTTGTCACTGTTCTGAGCTGTGGGCCTGTTCCATGTTCGAGTTGGTGTGGCGCAAACCATGGTGAGCATACATGTGTAGCCGCACCGCTGTCAATCATAAGACTGACCCACTTGTTGTTTTCTGTGAGTTGTTGCGCTGTGCCAATCATGGGAATTGTTACTTCTTGTAATCCTGAGATGGATACTGCTGATGGATCTGCTTGCTGTGGTGGTTGTGGTAGCGTTAGCATGTGCGTCTGATGTGGTGGTACAATTGTCGTCGTAGTGCGCTGGACTGTATCAGTCATCTGCCTGGTCGTTGGTGTCGCAGTTGCCAGTGTCGCAGTTGTAGATTGCCACTCTGCATTGCTTGGCCATGTGTCCTGGCTGTCCGCATCTGTGGCAAACATTTGTTGCGTGCTTTCCTTTTGCTCCTTTTCCTCCTTGTTGGTTGTTGTAGCCCTTTCCTTTGTCGCTGTGTCCTTTTCCTTCCAATATCCTTGTTGTCCTTTGAAGGGATTTCCTTGTCCAACCGGTTCCGGTTGTTGATTGCGTTTGCCTTTTCCGCCTCTGTAGTTGTTATAGCTGCAATTGTTCCCGTAGCCCCCGTAGCCTTTGCCTTTGTTGTACTTTCCTTCGCCCTTGTGTCTTTCTTTCCTTTGCCTTTGTTGTATCATGTTGCTCCTATGTCCGTCGGTGCCGGTCCTTGGTTGTTGCTGCCTGATGTGATTTCTTGTAGCCTGGTGAATGATGCTGTTGCTCTGTAGTATTCGATCACCATGGATATGATCTGTGCATCTGTTGTGATGTTTCCTGCTTGCAGCTGTAGTGAAGCTCTCTTCGAACTTCTGTTCATCAAGTTGTGGTTTTAGCAGCCGTGTAAGGAGCCCGCTGCTCCTTGTACCAAGTGGCATGGAGTACCTTGCATGTGTCCGCCGCCATGTGTCAAAGCCGTTGCCTTGAATGTTTTGTCTGCAGGTTGTAGATGCTGGTCGCTCGCGCGTGCTCACCAAGATGTAGTGTAGGTTGTTGTTGCTTAGCTGTATCCAGCGCTCTGCCACATGTTGTGGAGGTGCTGCGTTCTCAAGTAGGTCGTTTGTAACTTGTCCTATTGGCTGCTCTGGCTGTCTAAGCAGGCTGCTGTATGCTGGGTCCTGTAGTCCCAGGTATGCTGTCATCTTGTATTTCCATTCCTCAAAGGTGTTGCATTCTCCTGCGAACCGTGGTGGGGATATCTTGTACCTGTGGATTCCTTCCAGCTGCTGCTCCTGTTGCTGTTGCTGTTGTTGTTGAGCCGCCATGTTGCTCACTACTGTGTGCCTGAACCTGTGGGTGCGTGTTGGAGCTCACCCTGGGTAGTGTGCAAGGATCGTGTACCAGGGAGCACTGCTCCGCTACCATGTTACAATCAAAGTGACTGTGTAAACCTGTTGTTTGACCTGTGAGTGTCAACACGGCCAGCGTAGCGCTTTTGTATCCTGGGCAATGTCCATAGGCTCAAGGCCTTGATGTACAAAGGCATCGAAGGAATGTACAAACTGTCTGTACACCAATGATCTGTTTTAACAATGTGCTATATATATATGGTACAACAACTTGTTTGTGTGGCTCAAAATTAAACGACAGGGGCAAACCGCAGGTTTTGGTCCATGTGTCCACTTACCATAGTTCCATTTTGGCTCCGGTTTTTTGAGCCACAGCCATGTGGTTGTCCTTTTGTTCTTTGTCGTTTTGACATTTTGGGGCACAAGCCCAGGCTATGGCAATATGGGGGGCTACATATTTACTTTTACCATATTCCTTTTTGATCATATGGCTGTGGGTCAAAACCGTTTTGGGATACCATTTTGGGGTAGGTGCACCACCCATGTTTTCTGTGCAATTTGTCCACTCCAAAGGGACACGTCACACAAGTTCACCATCACCCCATGTGTAAAAAACTGACAACGAGGCACATACAGGCCAAGACCTCCACCTGCGAACACACACGTCACTATTTGGCGGGAGCTGATCTCAAAAGGGAATGCTAAGGACCTCGCACGACCTCGCAGCAAATGGTGGTTTCTGTGGGGAATGTTTTTTTGTTTGAGGACCTCGCACGACCTCACTGCAAATGGTGGTTTCGGTTGGGAGCAGAAACGTCCATTTGCTGAATTGCATCTGGTTGTTTTTTTCAGGACCTCGCACGACACCCCACATGATGGTTTCTGGGAATAGCCTCACCCCACATGGTGGTTTCTGTGGGGAATAGCCCCCAAACCACCTTAAGTGTGTGAATTATGATGATTTGCTCAGATTGCAGTGTTTTTTCTCCTGGTGGTTCTGAAGGGAACCTATCATTGCATTTGTATTCTTATTTGTTCCAGGGGACTTGAGCTATGGGAGGGAAACCAACAGCCACCGCTCGTTTTGGGGTCCCCCTATGTTGGTCATGGGTCTGTCTCAAAGTAGTACTCGGAGCCCTTTTCGGATGGTGTAAAATGGACACAAGGAGACACACCACAATGAAGGGGGGACCCTTTTGATTATGTGTGGGGGGCGGTATCAAAGTCTAACTCCCTGAGTTTCTGGACTTTAGTCACTTTTTGGGAAGACCATGTTTCGTGGTGTATTAAAAGCTTGGATTTTGCTCGGCTATCAGAAGTCAGAAACTGGGGTGGTTTCCCTTGAACTTACCACTTAGCAGGGTGACATTGATAGTGGCAACATGATGTGGCCAGTTTCAGGTGCGGATGGCTCGTCCTTTTTGGAGAGGACCCTTTTCGGGATAGCTTAAAGGCAAAAAAACAGGGAACCCACCGATTTTGAGGATCCACTATTTTGAAGCAAGCCCGTGTCTCATCTGGTGGCCTCCCCTTTTCCAGCTATCCCAAAAAGGGGTCAGCCAATTTTAAGGACGCCCCTTTTGGCAGGGGGTGTCGCTTGAAAGTCGCCCGTTGAACAGTTTTGCCTTCCTCCAGAATCTATCCGCAATTCTTAGGCTAGATGGTAGCCGTTTCCCTTACGGATTGCGGACTAGGCTCGGGATCCACTCAAACCTTCTGGGCAATTGGTGTGTTGCTTTTTGCGGCCACCCAGCCCACGTTTTTCTTTGAGCCAACCCGAGAAAGGGCTAGCCTTCGCCTCAAAAGATGCGAGCACCCGCTGAGGCCCGTGCAGGCGTAGCTCTCTGAGCATGGACCGCGGCCGGGCCTCTTCAGGGGCCACGGTGAATGCGACGGGCAAAGAAGGGTCTGAGGGTACCCCCTGCTTTGGTGGTTTTAAATCGGAAACCAACTGGAACACCACAATTCTAGTGGGTCCAACCCCCCTCAAAAAAAGGCACACCTAGATGGGTGTGGGTCAAACATAGGGTAACCCCAACTTGGTCTGCTACATGGAACCAACAACTAAAGTTTAAAACCTGCGGTCCCCCGGTCGCTTCATGTTGACCCTAGATAATGTGGACGGACGAAAACCATTTCGCACCACGAAACGAATCCATGATTGAATCCATTTCCTGGCATTTGCAGAAGAATCGCCTCTTCCCGGGTTTCTTCGGGCCGCATGGATCTCGTGCGCTCGAAATCTCCTTCCCATCGCGCGCCTCGAAGGGCGTGTCGGAGATCTGGGAGCAGAAGGACAGGTCCAAGGCCTGGAGGCCGAACTGGAACAGCAGCTCCGCCGCCACCTCTCCGAGCGAATCCGGGTCTCGATCCCGAGCGCGCGAGCTGGGACTTTGAGGGGGGCCAAATCAAAACGCGCAGCAGCATCCGTCGATCGATCACCGAAAACCCGCGAAACAGAAGGAACACCCGAGCGATCCCAGCCGGGATCGGGATCGCGGACAGTTGGGAGAAAACCGCTCCGGCGAGTCTTGCTGGGTAAAATTGAAGCCATAGGGGTTTTAACAAAGGCCGGGAATTTTTGAGGAGCGCCGGTCTGGTTTTTTCTTTCCGGAAGCAACTGCGCCAAGCAGCTTAGTATAAATATAAATTATATATGTATATATATATGGTCACCCCCCCCTGCATGACCTACCGTTGTCTTTCAAAAAGTCGTTGGGGACCATTAGCAGACAATAAAAAAGTGAAAAAAAAACACCTGTATTTTTATGGTTTTCGATTAAAAAACAACACAGTCAACCATTGAAAAATTAAGAAAACCAGTGTGTTTTGATGGTTTTAGCAAAAAATGTGCAAAAACCCATGTTTTTTAGAAAAAACAGGAAAGCATTCAAAAAAAACAAGTGTAAAAACTGATATGTTTTTCAGATAGATCCCTAAGTCAAAAACTAAGAATTCCCTGGGTTTTTGAAGGTTTTGCAGTAAAACCTTCAGAATTCCTTGGGTTTTTAGCATTTTTCACATAAAACCAAGAAAACCTCGAGAAAACCAAGAATCCAAGAATCCAAGATTTTCAGGTAGATGTTTGGTCCACTACAAAATCTTGGATTCTTGGTTTTCTCGAGGTTTTCTTGGTTTTCTTGGTTTTACTGTGGAATTCTTGGATTTCCAGCAAAAAACCAAGAATTACTAGGTTTTTTTTTGATTTCCAGCAAAAAACCAAGATTTACTAGGGTTTGTTTGGATTTCCAGCAAAAAACCAAGAATTACTAGGGTTTTTTTGGATTTCCAGCAAAAAACCAATATTTACTAGGGTTTGTTTGGATTTCCAGCAAAAAACCAAGAATTACTAGGGTTTTTTTTGGATTTCCAGCAAAAAACCAAGATTTACTAGGGTTTTTTTGGATTTCCAGCAAAAAACCAAGAATTCCCAAGTAAAACAAGGAAAACCCAAAAAACCTCGAGAAAACCAAGAATCCAAGATTTTGTCGTGGGCCAGACATCTACATGAAAATATTGGATTCTTGGATTCTTGGTTTTCTCGAGGTTTTCTTGGTTTTCTTGATTTTACTTGGGAATTCTTGGATTTCCAGCAAAAAACCAAGAATTACTAGGGTTTTTTTGGATTTCCAGCAAAACACCAAGATTTACTAGGTTTTTTTTAATTTCCAGCAAAAAACCAAGAATTCCCAAGTAAAACAAGGAAAACCAAGAAAACCTCGACAAAACCAAGAATCCAAGATTTTGTCGTGGGCCAGACATCTAACACAACAGAAATACCAGCACCAACTGAAGACGAAGAAGAAGAACCACAAAAAGATAAATTTGAAAAATTGAAATCTTAATAATAGCATATATAATGGGTATTGGTAAAAGTAAAAATAATGAAAATAATAGTTTGGAAGACATTAAGAATTTAAGTATAGATGAAAAAACACGAGCAGACACTTTAATTATTAAATCTCTTCAAGAATGTGTGACACGAATTGAGAAACTAGAGAAAGAAAAATATGACAAATTAATATATAAACTTCCTGCCTTACAATTTTGCAATGCTTCGTTAATTTAAATTAATAATATTAACATATAATAATATTATTGATTGCTATCATAATCTGTCATTTTATCCTCTGGTATTGTTGTTGAAGTAGTACTACTTATATCATCTATTAAATCTTCTTCATCAACAAAATTATTTTGACATCTTAATAATTCCTCGTCTGTTGCCCTTCTTTTCAATACTTTATAAAGTTTATGTATCCAAGAATTAGTATGAAGATTACAATTACCTCTACGATAAAATCCACCACATCTACATAGTTTCATTGGCATATTACTATATTATATTAAATTAGAATATCTTTATTCATCATTCGTAATTTGAAATGCCTGTTCAAATCTGATATGAAACATTTTGTTAATGTCTTTAGCATTCATATTCACGTAGAAGAAACTATAAGGTGCGTCATTAACGGCTTGATGATACATATCTAATAATTGCTGTTTATCAACAATGGCGCTATTTTCTTCAATAAAACGCATTAACTCACTTGCATTTTTCAACCTAATGAACTGGCATTTAAACGAATGATAGGCACTAAAACATTATATTTTGTGTTGAACAAATTGCACTTACTGCATCGTGCCTGCCTCTTGTAAAAAGTCCGTGTAATAATTTACTATATCTAACAAATTTAGGATCGTCTGCGTGGTCATCTACAACGATGAATATTGAATGCGTGGTCATCTATAACGATTAATATTGAATGTAGTTTCTTTATCTTTTTAGACGTCATATAATTAATTATTTTCTTCTGTCTTTCAATTACATTTTCTAAATCACTTGGATTATAATTATCAAAATAAATTTGTTCTTTTTCATCATCCACGTGCAATTCATCCCTGATGTATCTTTTAACTTCTGTAAAAGTTGGGTCATTATGAACGCTGGGGGAAAATACAAATATTCTTGCAAATGAATTTCTATAAACATTCAAGATAAGGTTTTGGACTAAAACTGTTTTGCCTCCCGTCGATGAAGCAACTATAATACTTCTAAATGGTAATTTTAGCACGTGCTCATATTTGGATTGTTTGAATTCATATTCAGTTATGTTTATTGGTTTTATTATTGGGACATCTGTCATAGTTGATATTAAAGAAATATAGAAAATTATATTTAAAAAAACTTGTCATTAATATTAAATGGAACATCATTATGTTATGAGTGGCGGTGAATAACATAATGGAACAGGTTTTCCATTGCTTCAATCAATAAGCATTGAAGATAATTAGTTTTGTGTTTTGCTCGCGTGTGCAATGAAAACCAAGTGCTGTGCCCCACCAATAGCGATGAAGGGAGGGGCAAATGATAGATGAGATCCTGCTTTTTTTAGCTAAAAGGTAGGTCATGCAGCGGGGGGTGAGCTATATGGTCACCCCCCCCTGCATGACCTACCGTTGTCTTTCAAAAAGTCGTTGGGGACCATTAGCAGACAATAAAAAAGTGCCTTTTTTAGCTAAAAGGTAGGTCATGCAGGGGGGGGTGAGCATATATATATATATATATGTGATTTAAGCCAGTTGTTCGGTGACCCGTTGAAGGGGTTCGAATAAATGGGGCTAACAGTTGAGTTCGGACAAGTGAGTTTAGCAAACGGGCTCTAAGAGGCCGACACCCAACAACGTGTCCAAACGCAGGTATCGCAAGTCTCCTGCGAGGGACTCCGTGGGACAAAACAACCAGGTAAAGCATTCCACGTCCTGTGAGAACTTCTCTTTCATGGGACTTGCCGCTGCGACATAATCTGGGTGTGTCTTTTCTTGGGGTACACGTTTTTTGGTGGTTTTGCCGGCATTTTTTTGGGGGGTCCCCTAAAAAAACACCCATATGGTTGGTCTCGCCGTGCGAACCACTTTCGCATTCAATGGAAAACCCTTCCTTTCCCAAAAAGCTTAAGTCTAAAGATAAGCCAATGGCAATCAAGAAACATCATCCAAGGGAGAGCCAGACAGTTGTGGACCTCACGTGCCTTTCTCGCGGACTTACAGTACGCGCGGTTTCCTTGTCTTTAACCTCCTGGTGGAAGGTATCCTAAAGTCCCTCCTTTTGAAGCCGTTGTGTGGGGTGTGTGTTTGTGTTTCATACCAAGACCTGCACCTTTGAATTTCAGGCCACGCATGTTTCTAATGTAACCTAAACAGCACACCGCCGAAAAATCATGAGGGCCTGTCTCCCAAACTTAACAAAGGTGAATCAAAGCAATCTCAGCGAAATCTTGTTCAAAGTTGTCCATGGCTTAGGAAGTCCCTGATGCACCCCCCCCCAAAAACCCATGACGCGTTCGTTTGGAAAAACAGATGGCTCAGTAAAATCGTTGGAACCACACCAGCGCCAGCTATGCTCAGACTGACCCACAAATACACCTATGCTTATTATCTACTCGACACTGTTGGCCTCATCGGGAGTGGGGGGGGGTTCCAACCACAGGGATCCCCTTCGCAAAGCCTTGATAAGCATTTCGTCCCTCAACTTAGTGGACCCCTCAAATTATGGATTTTCCTTTTTGGTGTCCCCTTAAAACCACCAAAAAAGGGTACCCCTAAAAGCAACGGAGCCATGTTACACCCACGCTTTAGCAAGGCCTTCCCTCCGGCAGGAAAGAAACAAAGGCCTCCTTAAAAGGAAAATGGTCTAAACCAGTCAGGTGATCACCTAATGGACTTCCCTTCTGGCCTTTGGCCTTGACTGGATGGGAAACCAAAGCTCAGATCCCCTCGATTCTTTTTGGACGGCCCATGCGGGCAACGAAGGGCCCCCCCCCCAGTTTCCACAGCTCCAGCTCCGGGATCTTAAGGGCATGCTAACAGATCAAGCATACCTCAACATGCCACGGCTATATCAAGACGATATATGGGTGTGTTTCCCCATGTTTACACTGAGGGGTTCTTAAGGGAGGGTTCGCGCTCAAAGTGTTGGCCCCGTGCGTATAAACTTGTCTTCGATGCGAAATTGTGGCTCGCGTTGGTGCGTGCGTCTCGCTGTGGCGCCGTGCGATTTTCGGTTTTTGCTGGCAGGGACAACAGTCGCTATGTTCTTCAGCAAGCCTCGCGCTAAACGTTTTCTTGAAGCAAGGTGCAGTTTTGATGGGCGGACCTGGCCTGCGGAGGTTCGCGCTACGATGCGGGGTGTGTGTGTTTTTGAGGAAGCCTCGTGCCAAACGTCACGCGCAGCATCATGTGCAACATCACACGCAGCATCACGCATAGCTTCACGCGCAGCATCAATTCACAGCAGAGATTGTGAAGCACGATGCTAAGCTTGCTCGTCAGAACTTGCAGAAGCTACGCTTGAGAAGGGACATTTACGTGCTTGCGCTTTGTTTCTCATCTGCAGTGGGAGAGGTGTCAGAGTGTATTTAATGTCTTCTATGCTTCAGGGCCACCCGTCGTCAAATTAAACCCAATACTATTTGGGGGTCTCTTGCTGGGAGAATTAGGTCGGACCGCCCCCCAAATGGTGGTTCTCCTTCGGCTTTCCCTTCACCACCCACACAGGGGACACGCACCCATATCCCTGTGAACCCTCCCTGTCTTCAGGACCCAAGACAAATCGGCGTTTCCAACATCTTGTGACACCGTTTAGTGTTTGATTCCACAGGCCACCAGCAAGGTGGAGCCCAACAAAAAAATGTTCCTCCCGTATGTGTCCCTTTAACAGGGATCCTTACATTATACACCCGAACATTGCAACTTGTAAATGGTGGTTTCCAACTTTACTTCGGTGGAAAATGCAACATGCTTCAAATGGTTGCAAATTGGAGATCTTTTAAGGAGCCCTGTTTAAGCCAACCCTAAAAGTAGGCACCAACGACCCGTGTTGCCCCAATTTCCAGGCGGCCTCATCGGTGACGGTGCCGTGGCAGTACGCCAGGCCCAAGATCCTACCAAAAATCGGACGGACGGGGAGCGTTTTCAGTAGGGTCTCAACATAGGATGTGGAACCCCCCCCCCCCCCAAAAGGAGTACGGGTTCCTTTTGGTTCCCTTAAAAAGCATGTTTCAAAGGGATTCCACTTTGCTTTGCTCGTATGGTTTTTGCAGGTATGGAGGTTATATACTACATGTAAGGGGTGTTTACTACATTACAAGCTTAGCTCCAACACCCACAAGGTGTCCCTTTAGACAATCGATGGCACAGGTAGAGAAACAGTGTAGAAAATGGTTTGGATGCGCTTTTGTGGATTTCAACTGTTGTTCCCCCAGTTGGTTCTCTTTTGGTAGTGGTTTAGTACTCTTTTAATCCAACAGCCACATCCAAGCCATTTTCAAGCAATAGAAGGAACCTGAAATCGGTGCCACCTATAGGCCAATGCCGACTTCTCAGAAGCCCTCGGCTGGAAAGGCCAATGTCCAAAAGGCTGATGTTGATTTCGGATTAATCAACCCCAGTTCTATTTAGGTTGTCCAAAAGTGATGGATCCCCACTAAACCCAGAAACGCCCCCAGATTAATACATGGGATCACCTGCCCAAGAGACCTGGAGATCTAGGTCCCCTTTGGTAAGGTCCGCGGCAACTGAGGTGAAGTCATCTCAGATGAAAAGCGCCAGCTCTCATATTATGATGACCCGACAATGTTATCGTCTGAAACCGATAGGACATTGACTACACAAAAACGATGCCCGTCAACCTGCAAAATAAAAGGGTGTACCCAAAACCGATACCCAAATAACATTGTCCCTTGCTCAAATGTCAATGAAATCTTTGGGCGACTTGCATCAATTCACTTTTCCCGGAGCTACAGAATGATCTCAAACTTGAGATTGAGGTCGTACGCCCGTCTCCCAAAAGTCAAACAGCTATTCTGGTGCTTGCTTCAAGTCTTCACACAATCGCACGTAGAGTCCACGGGCCCCCTCCAGACTCAATCCGCGGATTCCCTTTCGTGAAGAAGGTTGATCGGCTACTCCTCTGACATATGGGTGTTTTTGTTGAAGGTGCCCCTTTCTGGATTACTTTATGGGGAAACAATTCGCAAATTGCCTCCCCACAAGTTAAGGAGACAGGTACACATTTGACCCTGTGCATGGAGTTGAACTTCTTGTTTGACAGTGGGGAGCACATAGGTGTCTAGGTGTCGCGCTGGCCCGTTCGTGCAACACCTAACGGGGATCACACGTCCCCAAATGGGGCACACTCTCAAAAAACAATATACCTAAATGACCCTGAATAATCAGGTGGCTTTTCAAACAAGCAACTGCATGACAATATTATATTACCGGTACAGCAATCTGCAAAACCTGCAAGGGACTGCCATAGCACATCGCCTTGAATGAGTTGCGCCAAAAACCAACTGACTTTTGGTTCTACGGTTGTCATGGATGGCCCATAGGACTCACCATACTTGTTACACCAGCTTGGGCCACCAACCAAAACGGCCAATTTGGGTTTTGGGCCAGGCCAATGACTGCGGCTTCTTCCATTGCCAGAGTGCTTTCAAATCGGGTTCCCCCAAAAATGTCCCCTTAAACATCACCCCACCAAGAGAAATCACTTCAGATTGGCCGAAAGGGAACCCTGCCAAACTGCATGTTGCAAAGGCAATATTGCACACACCTTTCAATTCCAAACGGCGAACCTCACGTCCCATGGCAACCAATTCAGGGTTGTTCGACAGGGAAACCAAAGGGGGCTTCCTCGATTTGAGACAAACCCAGATCTCAACAAATGGGTATGGGTCAAAATTAAACCACCAGGGGACCGCGGGTTTTAGTCCACGTTTCCACTTACCAGGGTTCCATTTGGGGGAATCCTATTTCTGACCCACAGCCAAATCCCTCGCACGCGGAATGCATCCTCAAGTACGGCGCTCCCTTCAGGACATAGCCCATCAAGCCCTGGCTCGCGTGAGAAGCTACTTTGTTTGGCCAAGTTAGTATACAACCGACTAATGTTGACCCAGGATTAATAAACTCGTCCCATTAGGAGGGTGTTCCCTGCAAAAGTGGTCTGAATCCCCACTAAAAGGGGACACCCTATTAATCAACCATGGGTTTATTCATCCGGGGTTAACATTAAGAGTCAAGAGGCTTAGTCTCAGATGGAACATCTCTGGTGAGCATCAACCGAACGGTTGCAATGTTACAACCTACTAGCTTGGCGAATCGACCAAGCAAGGAGGCATCAAGAAGATATCTGGGGACCCCAAAAGGCTCAGACCTGCTCAGAACCCCGTAGCTTCGCATGAAAAAATCACTAATAGACACTTGCAGAAATAGAAGCACGATGTGTGCCACTTAAATCATCTCCCCCCTCCCGGAATATATATATATATATATAGTTGTTTTTGCAGTTGAACAGAAGCGTTGCTCTACATTACATGGTTGTGGAAGGTACACTGTACTTTTAAGGATACCAACATTGGGAATAGCTAAATGGCTATGCCTCCGGTGTCACTTTCAAGTTGGGGTTCGCCTGGCCGCGGTCCGAAACCGAATTGTCCACAACTATATGGGCTAAGTACAGTAGCCTCAAGATGAGACTCTAAAAGGTGGTTTCATGGCCTTTCTCACGAACCGGTCCCAGAAATGGTAATTCAATTCCCTCAAAATGCAGCCACTTCAGAAGTTGGACCCGACGCCACACAGCGATAGGTCCTTGGGAACTCATTTACCGAGCCACCAAACTTCAAGGCCAGGAGTCGATTCCACAACTCGAGCCGAACCGAACGTCTGTGAAAATCGACTTGGAACCGAACTGACCTGAAAGGGACAAAACATCTGTCTTGGGCACTGCTTATAATTCACTGGCTCGTCATCAAATTGTACAAAAAACGAAACCTGAAACAAGGGAACCCCTGGTAAATAAGTAAAGATGTGTCAATGACGGTGAGCGTGTTGTACCCCCTTGTGAGCTCGCCATGAAGGTAAGCATAGCTGATGCAAAATGGCTTTGTCCATCTACAGCAGCACCCAAGAATTTGGCGACCTAACGGAAGTAAATCCGTGGGTGTACTCCCTTGAACTTCCTGGCACCAATCTAAGAAACCAGCTCCAGGAAGTTCTACAGGAAGTGGGCGCTTGGCAAGTTTGCGTATGTTTTCCAGAGCCACTTGGTGTACCAAGAGCATCGAGACTTCAAAGTGACTTTTAGTCACAAGGATGGCAACTATGGTATAGATTTGAATTACTCAACCATGTCAATTGGAATGTAAACACAAATCCCCAAAGTTTAAAACCAGGAAACTTACTCAGTTGCCAATGGGGGCAGAGAGGGTATAACCATTTTGCCCATCGACAGTAGCACCCAAGGTTCTATTGGTCATGATGGCCCAGTTTGGTATCACAGAAAGGCTTCCCTGATGAATGAAGCCTGGTTGACTGGGGTGTTCCCCTCCAAAAGCGACAAACCATTCCACCAGGATCCCCCCCGCCCCCCAAAAAGCATCAGCCAGGGAGCCCCATGAATCAACCACTTGCTGGTGCGATAGGGAATGAGAAATGGAATGCCCCCATAAACCATTTTCCATAGTTTCCTTTCTCGGAAATCCCCAAGTTCATTCAACCACATTCCCTACTGAGCACCATCTTCTTTTTGATGGCCAGGCGAATGAACGGTTGACTTCCTTAAGGGAAATCACCTGTCACGGTCGAATCAACCACAAACTGAGTCACAATTGAAAAAACCACTAATTTCCGGAAACAAAAACACACACACACAAAAAAAAAGAAACAAACAAACAAACAAACAAAGAAAGAAAGAAAGAAAGAAAGAAAGAAACAACAACCACAAATCCGGGGGGGGGGGGGGGAAACGACGTCCCGCGCGCCTCCGCGGTGATCTGTCCGCATTTCCCCACCGAGAGCTCACGCAGCCCCAGCAGCCCTGCGAGGGGAGGCTTCCACCTCGGCGTCGAATGAGGCGAGGCTTCCCGGGGGCTTTTTTAGGGTCGAGGGGCGGGGGGCGGGGGGCGGGGTGGGGGTCGGCTGATGTCGGCTGATTAGCAAACAGTCTTTTTTTAGGTCGTTCGAACCAGGGGGGGGGTGGGGGGCGGGTGTGGGGGGGGTGGGGGGTGGAACCCTCGAACCCCAAAAAAAGGGGCTTTGCTTCTAGGTCCAGTAGAGGAGTGGGGGGGGGAACCAAAATGAGGGGGGTTTCCCAGTCTCAGTGGTTCGGTTCAACCAAAAGGGGGGGGGTTCAGCCAAAATTGGGGCGTAACTTGGGGGGTGTCTTCAACTAAAATGACTAGGTCCTCCAGATTTGAGAGGTTGGAATTTTAGGGTACCAACTTTTCTCAGTTTTGTCTATTTTAGGGGAACCCTCCCAAACAAAAAAGGGGCGAGAAAGGGCACTACTGCCTAGAAGCGGTGGCCTTGTTTGGAAACAGATTTGTGCGGAAGACATAGTCAGGTGGGGAGTTGGGTGTTCATCTGCGAAGTTGCAAAAACCCCTTGAACTACCCATAAAGCTTGGAATTCACCACAGACTAGGACCTAAAAGTCCCCCATTTTAGGGAAACAATGGGTACCCGGAAAATGGATCCGTGAACAATGTCAACTGCAAGGCAGTTTGCCCAGAAAGTACCTGAACTGTCAAACTGCCCATCTCCAGGATATGTTCCAGGAAAAAAATGCCCCCCAAACACCTGGAGGTTGGAAGGCCAACCTCCATACTGCTTTTTGCGAGGCAGAATCACACCTTGATGTAACCTCCATGCCGAGCGGCTACACAGGTGGTTCACAGATCTGGGGCCCAAAATCCGTTCTGGGACCCTTGAAATGCTGTAGACGGGAAACATAGTCTCACTTGCTGAGTGGATGGCCCAAAAAAAGTCCAAACTTTATATTTACCACCAAAATGGTCTTCCCAAAAAGTTTAAAGTTCATGAACTGCGGAAGTGAGTAGTTGATGTCCTTTCCAGACGTCTAGCGTTTCCTGATCCATTGGTTTTGACCTTCCGGCGAGCTGCATCGATCCGAGCCTCACTTTCATCTGCGACTCCTGGATGCATCTCTTCGGCACGCCAGAGGTATCATGGTTCTGGCAACGCAAGGCCAAGAATGGATAGATGTCGCACCAGCCATGACACCACTGGACGCTGCCATTTTAAGCTCTCAGTTTGCACCCACCGCCCTGGACAAGGTTAGTCCAGACTTTTGTCCTTCCCGGCTACGTCTGGTCAGAGCATCGCACTGCAAATGATCTTTGTGTTCCCAGCACGCAGCCAGCGCGGAAGTGGGCACGTTGCAGCACAACGGGGCAAACAAGCTGCTTGTCCATATCACATGTCCAACACCACATGTGGGCAAAGAGCTGTCATTGGGGTGAGTTGAGGTGATACATGGCGGCTGTCTGAAACTCCTTGTTCCGGAAAATGCCGCAAAACCAATTAACATGCGCGGCCTCCATCGCAGAGCTTTCGCAGGGCTACTCTCACAAAACGTTCGCAAAGATAGGTCCGCCGCAGAACTTTGGCGGGGCAGCACATAAGACCGAAACGCCTTCCCGTTCATATCTCAACACAAGGACCGTTCGGACGACCCTCGCATCTCTCCAGCTGCTTGGTGTGCAGCTGGCCACGTGCAAACCTCATCACAAAGCGATCAGAGACTGCAGACGCCAGCAGACGCAGAGGGTGCGCCCGAGTGGATTTTCATGGTGGCATTGTCTTCAGGCTGTTCCCATGTCGCGCGCTGACTACCTCCCCTAAAGACATCTGTGGCACATCAGCCGAGCTTGCAAATGCAAGAACCAAAAACTCACTCAAAGTATTGCAAAGCTGCTGTTAGGGGCAGTCAGTGAAGGCGCTGGACTGGCTCGAGAAGAAACTGCACGCTTGCTGAAGTGCCATGCTCATTCGATGCTGACCCCACACGCGGCCTCGCATGTCGACAAGTCATTTGCGAGAGCATATGCCAGGTACACTGAACACCGCTTGAGTCTTCCGCTCGTGCAGATTACAGCGCGTTTACCTGAAAAGCGCTGGTTCAAGAAAAAACGCTCGGATGCGGACATCGAAAACGAAGGAACTGTCCATCGTATGTCTTTCCAAGTCGCAACCTCGGCGCTCAAGCCACAAGCAGCCCATTCGAAAGGCAGGCACCTGACTGATGCATGACTCCGGCAATGGGCTTTTGCCGGCTCCTCTGGCACGTGTTTTTCATCACATGCCGTGCCCAAAAACTACATTGGAAAGGGATGCCAGAAGACTTTCCCTGGATTCGAATCACATCTCGTGCTGTTTCTGGCGAATGCCCTGCAATCTACATGACTGCTAACAGGTGCTTCGAGATGGAAGAAGCCGTCATTCGGGGAACGAACCCAGTGCCGCAAGCTTGTGAGTACAAAGTTTGCAGCTGCCGCGCATGACCCGCCTAGCAGCTTTCGATGCGCGCTGTTGCGGCATCCGCGTGCACTGCGCGCTTGCGCGACCTTTCCCAAGCTCAAGGACCGAGGCTTCCGAAGGTCAGTCAGGAGCAGTCCCCTTGAGTCCCCTTCAAGCCTTCTGGCGAGGAAACTGTGCTACCCGGCTGTGGGTCAATGGAATAAACCCAAAATGTGCCCTGGGAAATGGAAACAAGGACTACCTGATACGTCAAGATTCTGACCCAAACCGCAAAGGGCGGTAAAGGTTGACAGCATTGAGAATTGCGCCCCCGCTCGCAGTGGTTTGCGATAGGTAGCTACACAAATTGCTCTGCGTTGCGGGTCCACATCTCCGTGGCGCAACCTGTGCTTGCAATGGCAGGACGCACGGACAACACCACACATAGGACAAAAGCTCCACAGGGTGGGTGCACTTCGCGGGAGCTGCTCTCACACCCAGAATGTGAGATGCCCATCGGGAAGATCGTGCGCGAGTCTGGCAGCGAAGAGCTCATCCGAACAAATTGGCATCGGAAATTGTCTTGGTCTTGAGTCGTTTCCGAAAGCACATACGCCACAGGCTGAGCACCTCCTGCACCTCATCTCTTGCAAACACTGCCTAAACACCCAACGTCACGGAACACACTCGAGGAAGCACGCAGACTTTGGGCAATGCTAGGGCAGTCAGCTGGGCCTGCGGCAAACTGGCTGCGTGAAAGGGAAACTGCTCTGAAAGGCAACTTGCTGCACAGGGAGTGCTGCGAACGCAGAAGTCCTACTCATGAAGCTCATTGATCAAGATGCTGACACCAGCAACCGCAAAGGGCTCACCCACCGGAAATGGCATGACTGGACATTGGGTTGTGTTCAAACTGATTCCGATAGAAATGAACGCATTGAGTTGTTACCTCCTGACTTGCAGATATCCGTACGGCGCAAGCCGCCATGCTTACAAAGACAGCAAGAGACCGCTGCTGATGGCAAGTTGTTGTTGAGGGCAGCTAGTTGTAAGACACTCGGTGCACTGATTGCAAGTCAAGAGGTGCTTTCCAAACTGCACAGACCTGGCTGTTTAAGCAACATCCGCATCATTGCCAGTACGGCGTCCTTTCCCCGACCGGGTTGGGTTCCTTGAGAAAGGCGTTGTCTTCAGGTGGCTCTTGAAAGGCGCACACAAATGCTTGCACAGGCAGCTGAAACGGCCAATCGCACCGAGCAAGCTTGTGTTCGGAAGCAACGCTTTGGCGAAGCTTGGGCAGTCAAGAGCAGGCAAGCTGCCTGCACAAGAGGGTGGCAATGACCTGTCAGCAACCTGTTGTACAGTAAGTGTTGCCAAGCATGCGATGAGCTCACATCGTAAAGCTCGTTGATCAAGTTAGTCAGAAACTGCAAAGGGCTCACCCAAACGATTGCATGATGCAGCATGTGGTGAGTCCTACTTGTTGCCGATAGCACATCTGGCTCTCAGTAACTACTACCGGCTCTGCCAAGCCGCCATGCTTGCAAAGGCATTCCAGCCACCAACACGGCACAAACTCAAGCTAGGAAGCAAGGCTTGGGGGAATGTTTGGCAGTCAGGAGCAGTTGGCGCAAGCCGCCAGGCATGCAAACGCAGCCCAAACACCCAAGGTCACGGAATACACTCAAGGTAGGATGCCGGGCTGGGGCAAAGCTTTGGCAGTCAGTCGGGCCTAAGGCGGCAAACTGGCTGCGTAAACTGCCCTGAAATGCAACTTGCTACACCGGGAGTGCTGCGAATAACGTAGAAGCCCTACTCACGAAGCTCAATGAGCACTCACACCCGGGATTGGCACCACTGGAAATTGCTTTGTGTCCAAGTTGTCACCTCCTGATTGTAGATATCTGCACGGCACAAGCAGCTATGCTCGCAAAGACAGCAAAAGGACGCTGCTGCTGCTGGTGGCAACTTGTTCAGGGCAGCAACTAGTTGTAAGACAAGCAGCGCAACAACAATTGGTTGTAAGTCCACAGCTGCTGCCCAAAACGCATAGTTGCCTCTGTTTGGTTGAGCAACACCTGCATCATTCCCTGCACGGTGCACACCCAAACAGATTGGCAGCCTCGGGAAATGCTTTGCGGCCAGGCGGCTTCCGATCGCACACACAAACCCCCTTCCCATCATCTCCTGCGCTGCAGACTTCTCTGAAGCCCAAGCTCCTATGCTGCACGGGCAGCCTAAACGGCCAATCATTGTAAGCAGGCTTGAGCTCGGAAGCAAGCTGGGACAGTGAGCAGCCAGTTGCGCTGAAGGCGGCAGGCAAGCTGCCTGCGCGAGAGGGCGCCTGGCGTACAACCATGTTGTACAGGGAGTGGTGCGAAGCGCACAAAACTCCCACATCATGAGGCTCATTCCGACACCAAAAGCCTTGCATCATGAAGCATGCGGTATGTCGATATGTCAGACTGTTTTTGAAAAGCACACATGGCGTACACTGACTTCCTCCAGCCCTGCAAAGATTTGTGTTGCACAAGCCGCCATGCTTGCAAAGACAGCCCAAACACCCAACAACTCTGCATACACTCAAGGTAGGACACAGGGCTCGGGCAAAGCTTTGGCAGTCAGTTGGGACGAGCACATGGCACTCAACCAGGAAGGATCATGAAGCTCATTCAAGAGTCCAACAGTCTGATGCCGACCAATGGCACACCTCGGATTTTGGAAATCCGTTGAGGCATCTGGCTGCTTGCTGTGCAGGTGTCGCGACTTGTGCACTTTTAGATGCAAATCTCAGGCTTGTTCAGCTGCGCAGGCATCGCCGCATGCAATCAACGGGGCAGGCGTTGTGGCAACACTACTTGATCGTCGTTCTCCAGCCACGTAGCCAGCGCAAGCGCAGCGGGACAAACGTGCTGCGACTATGTGGCTAAGCAGAATTCCACTGCGATCCAGGAAACATTCGTCTGTTGACGGGGTGGATGCGACGCAACTTCTTGAGTCTATCGACATACAACTTTCTCACAGAGTGCGGCAAGCAAATTGGGGAACAGCACCACCGACGTGGTTCTAGGTTCTTCTTGAGCTGAAAAAGAACCTCGCACATGCACAATCAACGACTGGTCATGAAGTGGCTGGTCAAAACTGGGGAAAAATCCCAACATGGATTGCCATGGCAAATGGAACCATGGACTAAAACCCTGCGGTCCATCTCCCGGCGGATGGAAAATTTTGGCTCGGCTCCGGGCAGGGCGGGCGCGAAGGCAGAGTCGGAGATGCGGGGGCATCCGTCCAGGCGCAGGACCTCGCGGATTCGGTTTGGAACCCTTCCGCGGTTTCGGTGGGCACGCGGTCTCGGGGCGCCGCTTTCAGCTTTTTACGCGCGGGGTTTCGGTCGACTTCTCTGCGGCTGAAGCGATTTTTCGGGAGGGCATGGACGCATGGCTGGACATGGGGTCATTTTGCAAACCCCAAATACGAGGGAGGGTGGTCTCATGTTGAAATCCGTTCGATCTCTTCGGTTTCATTGAGGCCTGGGCGGGTGGATTTTGAAGGGAAACCCATCCAAGACAAAGAAACTGAGTGCCACTGGGCAACTGGGGATATTGAAACTTGCTGGTTCGCAAAAGGGAATTTAAAGGGTTTTGCAATGAATCGTCTGGGCATCCCCTGAATGAATCGTCAACAAGCGATTTCTCTGTTCGATTTGCGTCATTCCAACTCATTCCCTGAGAACCAGCAGGCAAAGTAGAACCCCTTCTTTAAGCAACCTTTGGTCCCCCTGGATTGGTCGAGTCCAACTTCGGGCTTGCCACTTTCAATAGTCCAAGCAAGTCCAAGGGAAGTGAGTCCCTCTTGGGACCCAGGGTCTAGCACTCGCTGCTTCTGGAAAATCCGACCCCTTGCAATGCCTCAAGCCGCCTTGTTTTTCTCGCATGACAGGTTCACTTGTGTTTCTCTTGGCCTCTCACAGGGTTTCTGGAAACCCAAAACCCAAGTTTTCCACAACTCAGATGCCCAGTGGATTTCCATGGGAAGAAAGGGCAGCCGATTTGTTTTTTTCGGTTGGTTGACTTTAAAGGGGAACCCTTCCCCAAAAAAGAGAAGAACAAAAAGGGCGACACTGGGCAACTGGGACAACCATGCATTCGCTTCTCCAATCAAACAGTCACTTACGTAAAACGGGGGGTCGACCTTGGAAAAAGCTGATCTGAACGGAACCGCTGTGCACTTGCTGGTTCTCAGGGTTCAACATGGGTTTGAGGAATGAACCAGAAAAGAACCCCTTAGAGGAAACCACCAGTTGGATGCTTCGGTTCGATTTGGGTCAGTCCAACGCATTCCCTATAAGCTTGGCCCACATCTGGAGTGTACCATTTTTCTTTCAGAGATTTAGTCTAAATCATAAGAGGTTTCGGAGCAGCATGAGAACCAGCAAGTTCAAGAGTTACCTCCATTTGCGAATACGCCCCCTGGAAAGAATGATGACATATTGCGAGTAGCGATAGATCGATTCCCTTATAAACCAAAAGAGGGAAAAACAAACATTCATTTCATGCAGCAGATTGGTGTGTCTTTTTTTTTCAGGGGACCCCCTCCCCCCCGCGCGCCCCCGCCCCCCCCAAAAAAAAGAAAGAAAAGAAGCTGTTCAGGTTCTAAAGCCACAAACACCCAGCCACAACCACCTTCCAGTTAGTTTCACTTCAAAAGCCACAAACAAGAAAACATACACACTCAGCTGGAAGGCGTTTCAGGGCCTAATCGGGTCCTAATGCAATGCCTCCAGGCGCTCGCAATGCTGAAGGACCTGCGACGAAAAAGCTCGCGATTCGAAGCCAGGCAAGCCGAAGCTGGGCTTGAAAAGGGGGTCTGTCTTGTTTGGGGGGTATGTTTGGGGGGTACCCCTTTTTTGGGGTTCCAGCAGCATTTGCTGTTCAACTCTTTTCCTGGCTTGAACATTTCGTCTAAGGGTCTTTGTCTTCTGGGTTTGGGACTACATGCCCTTTTGGGTTGCACACGGAGTGAACCCATTCTCGGAGATGAACACAACGTATGTTTTGTTTTTGGAAACTTCAATTTTGGACGCCCGGTTTGGGTTCAGAAATTCGAGGACTGAGGTTTGTCTTTACATGGGAAATGGAATCAACCAAATGGGCGACTTCCATAGGTGTCCTTTTAGGGGGTAGATGATTAAACCACCAGGTCAACCAGGAATCGTCCTCTATTTTTTATCCAAAACAACCAAAAAGGACACCTATGGCGGCTTCCCTTTGGTTTCCTTTTGCAACAGCCCCCGCGAGGTTGGATAAAGCAGACTCCTTTCGCATGATCCAAGATTGCCTAGGATTGATTTCATAGCATTGCCTCCAACTGCCGAGAGTAACTTACGCTCATGACACGGGCATGAATGGAAACCGTTTACCAAGTTTCCCATTTGGGTGTGTCTTTATCTAGGGGACCCCAAAATGGTGGTTTTCCGTTTGGTGTTCCTTTGAAGCCACCCCCAAAAAAGACCAGACCCATGGGACAACGGTCACAAGTCCTTCTGGAAACAAACTCATTTAGGTGTGTCTCTAAATGAGGGAACCCCCCAAATGGGTGGTTTCCCTTTGAGAGTACCCTGCAGAAAGACAAACTCATTTCGGCGGCCATGACCAAAAGTAGATCAACACCGCATCCGGCAGGAAGTGCTGCATTCTTCGCCCGGGCCCATGCGGGCCACCTCCAAAAGACGCCTTGCGCGATCCGGTCGTGGGCCAAGTCACCGCACAGATCAAGCGGAGTGCATGGGCAGGGAAGGTCGCAACTCCCACACCATCGCACCGACGTCCACTGCCGTTGTGCTCCAAATTCGCAGTCTTTGGGTTGAGCCGAACGGCCAGATTCATTGGATTCCCTTTGCAGCTCTGTCATCAAAACTTGGTATTGAGCATGCCCCGAGAGAATTTGTCTGGCTGGGACTGTGTCCTAGCCTTTCACTCATTCCCGCCAGATTTACATGGGACGCAAAAAAGGACATCCTTCAAAAGGAGATTTCTCTGAGAAGAAAGCCTATCAGTTGCTGAACACCTTCTACTGTAAGACGCCACCAATGATTCAGCCCTTACATTGCAATTTAATCATGGCTCTGTCCCACTTCTCATGGTTGGAAGTCCTCAAGGGTTATAACAACCAGAGTTACTAACCATTTGCGCCAGGGTGTAGCAGTAAATGGCCTACACTTCCCTGGTGGGAGGACTCAACTCGGGGATTTCTGCCATCCGCAACTGCTGCAAGTATGATGTCAGGGCCGAGGGCAATTTGGATGAAACCCCAGTAACTAGCGCGTTCCCAAAAGGATAGCTTCCGCTAGACATATTGTCTTACATTCCTTCTTTCCGTTCATCTGCACAAAATTGGGGCTTCACATGAGTTGCCCACAAGCGGTCCTTTTCCCCAAAGCAGCTTCCGCTGGACAAGCTTGAATTCTGGGGCTCCTTCCACGTCAATCCACCGGACACCGACGCGCTGTGCGCCGAATCTCTGGGCGCCCCCGGCGTCCCTGAGGATCTTGTTGTCCACCTGCTGGCAGCTCCGCACGTCCAGCACGCAGAGGTTCGGACAGGAGCGGCCGATGGTATTCAGGACCTCCGCTACGAACGCGCACGCGAACACGCACGCGAACGCATCCGAGGAACGCGGTGAAAACGAAAGTCTGGGGCTGGAGAAGGGGATCTTCTCGGAGGTCCACTTGGCTTTGGGAGATTGATTCCGTTCTTGGAAAGAGTTTGGAGTTCCGATTCTGTTTGGAGATTGATTCTACTTTTGGGGGTAGCCATCCTGTTCCTTAGGTTTTGAGTTGTGTTTGGTTGGTTTAGCAGTAGTTTCCACACCACCAAACGTGTCGACTTTTAGCAGGGAATCTGGAAACTGCCCGGTTCTGCATGGATTTCTCAAGCAACTGTTGGGATTGATGGTTTGGTGGTTAAGATGGATTCCCATTTACCCTCTACAAACACCAAGGCTTCAAATCCCCAAAATCCAAACCACCAATTTTCCGGGCAACCCGCATTTTTGGGGGGTTGGAAAAGCGCGGTTCGGGGGAAGTCATGGGAGGAACCTCGAGCGTTTCCTCACTTCAGTGGATTGGCAAGTCCAAACTTTTTCATCACATATGGCCTTCCCAAAACGACCGCCCAGAAACTTGGGAAGTGAGAACGAAGGCTTCTAGTCAACGCACGTCATCAATCCCGCCAGGCAAAAAGCGGGCGCTGACCTTTTGGGTTGCCGGCACGTTGTTCGGTTGCTTCAGAAATCAAGCTGGGCTTTTCCCAGATTCCCTGCGAACCGCTAAACCAACCAAAAACAACTCAAAACCTGAGGAACAGGATGGCTTGGCTCGCCACCAAGAATTCGGTTTGAGACATCCACTCAACAACAAAAAATAGGAATACGCACACCGCAGGAGGCCTGCAAAAAGGAAAGGGAAGCTACCCCTTGGATACCCAAATGAGTGTGGCTCAAACTTAGAATCGCTGGGGCACACGCAGGTTTCCGTCTCTTACATTTGCCCAGGTGCCATGCTCTGGTACATTTGTTTGACCCACAGCCAGATAAACAACAAACATAATTCCCATCCCTCATGACCAGTCGCTTTTATAGGATTCCAAGGATAGGACGGAAAACATATTATTCCCCGAACGTAGATCAATCGATCCCTTGGCCGTGAGTAGGCCAACAAAGAAAAAAAAGCGATCCCTGTCGACAGGCACCCGGTGGCTATGGGCGTGTGCCTCCCGAACCACAAGCAAGGGGTGTCAAAAATGACAACCCCAGATGGAAAAGGATTCCCCATGCCCCTGCCTGATGTTGGCACCGAGCCCATTTTGCTAAGACATCCTCACGCTGTATATGATGATGGCTTAGAAGGGACCAAATGTTCCGCAGATCCAGATCCCCCTGTAGGTCAGCCGTGTAACGTACTGTGGATGGACAAAATTCTGCACCAGCTAAGAAACCCAGGAATGATGGTTCCCCTGTGAATACCAACAAACGTTATGGCTTCAACCATGGTTTCATTTTATGGTGCGAACGGATTTCCTCCACCCACAGCATGTCAACTTCTCATAAAATTCATGAGGCGTGCCTGGATCCTCGCAGAGGTTTGCCCCTTTTACGTTGAAGACCCCATGGATGCTCGGAAACCGCGGGTTGGTGCCTCTCTTTGATTTGGGTCATTCCAACTCGTTCTCTGAGAACCAGCAACTAAACTATATACCAACCTCCTTTTGAATTTGAAAAGACCAAACTTTGGGTTTGCCACACATGGTCCAAACCCAAAGAGTAAGTTCAGGAACTCAGGAAGTAAGTTCCCCTTTCAAGCAATCACCGAAACTGTCCAAAATTCCAAAAACGTGGTCATCGCAAACCGTCTTGCTTTTGTGGAGGGTAGAAACAAACACAAAAAAAGAAGTGTTTTGTAAAGCACAAACAAAACAATGAACCCAAGGGAATTCTTTTGGTACCAACAAAAAAAAGCGAGAAACAAACACGGAGAAAACAAGAAGAAACAAAAAAAAAACAAAAACGATGAAGCTGCAAAGACCACAGCCACCCGAGCCGGCAGGCGCGGGGCGCGGGGCGCCACATTCACCGCGCCTGCCGCGCCCGCGCCCGGCGCTTGGGCCTCCGGGCGCAGCGGCGCAGCTGGGAGGCGCCCTCGAGGCCCAGCTGCTGAGTTTGTCGGGTGAGGGCGTAGGGCAGTACCTCGCGGCGCGCGCCGATCGCGCCGATTTCTTCCTTTTTTTTTCCTGCCGTGGGGAATCTCCGGAAATCCAGAGAAGGGCCCAATGTTGAGCCCATCGTTTTGTTCTTTCTTGCTGTTTTTTTGTTCCCTCTGCCTGCGTAGGGAATCTCTGCCGAGTGTTGAGCCTCATGGGAACTTCAACCAACCATCTTTTGTGTGCTTCTTTTTTGTTTAGGTAGGGAACATTTTCTGGGGGGGGTCCAGAAAGTGGGTGCCGACATGTTGACCCCATATGAATTTCAACCAACCAGTTTATTTATCCGGAATCAACCAACCCCAGTTTATGGAAAGTTTGGGGGTGCCATCTCTGGGGGAAATGTCTGCCTACCCACAGGGAATCTCTGGCCGGGGGGGGGGGTCCAGGGGCGGGTGCCGAATGTTGAGCCCACAGGAATTTCAGCTTAACAGTTTTCTTATGCTTCTTTTTTTTTGTTGGGGGGGGTGGCAACTGGGGAAATGTTGGAATCAGACCACTTTTGGAGTTGATTAGCTTAACAGTTTTGTTTGTTTCTTTTTTCGTTGGGGGGGGGGGGCAACTGGGGGAATGTGGTTGGAATCAGACCACATGAGAACACCCTCTAGGTTGAATGATATGAGGTCCACATTACCCCAGGAATTTTAGGGAAGCCTAAGGAACTCTAAGGAACCCATAGGAACCCCAACGAACCGAGGCGAAAAGTACTTGGCTGGTCGGCCAAGCTAGTAAGTGGTGAGCCCACTAGTAACACGGATCATTCCTCTTGTGAGTGGGTAATAACCCTAGGTTACCAACAACTTCACTTGGCCAAACACCCAAGTAACCCTTCCGGGGGGGGACCCCGGATTAAGCCCCTGGAATACACCAACCTAAGACCAGACCTGTCAAAACAAGCCCTGGGCAACCTTACTATGACTGAAAATGCTGAGTCCGAATTGAGCCGCAAGAATTGCTTACCCCTTAAAACTCCAAGCCCTGGGGAAGTTAATCTTTTACAGACATATAGCCCATGTTAAAGGCATAGCCAAATGGCATCCATTGGTTTCAAGCCTTCAAAACAACTCCAAAAAGACTTGAGAGGAACAAAAGGGGAACAACTCCTTTTCAAGCAACTCCAAAACGTGTTTCCACCGTGTTTCCCTCTAAAAAGGAGAAAAGGGGAACACGGTGGATCCCAGTTTCCAGCCCTTCGCCAGGCTCCATTGGGCTGAAGGGTTCCCTGGGCCTCATGGAATCATGGGGTACCCTAAAGGACACTGGATATAAAAAAAAATCCCCGAGCCCATGCGAGTCCAATAAAGGGCATACCTGCACAACAGGAAGGATTGGCGCCAACTCAAAACAGCGACCCGGCTGCCAACCTTGGGTTGCCCCAAAAGACGCTCATATGGAGCAAGTCCAGGAGTCCAAAAATAAGTCCATGAGTCCATAATATGAGTTGGGGGTGGCCCCGGACCACTAACAGTCAGCACAAATAGGAGCACAAAAAAAGCACCACAAAAAACAAGCAACTTTGCTCTTTTTTAAAATTAGGTACCCGTGCAGGTCTGAAACCTAAATTACTCGTTCTGCATCTTGGGGGATAGCTCCGGGGACCGTGAAACAAAGTGATTCAAAAACTATTTGCACAATGACTTATTAGCCCAGATACAATGGGAAAGTTAAATAGGCACACGCAACACGACGGCTAGCGTGGCTGTTGCAACATTACCCATTACCTTTCCGTCCTTCCTTTCTGTTTGGCTTGGTCGCTGCTGCTTCCCACAACACCCCCTCCCAGTCAACCTCCCCGCAGCGAAAGCCAGAGCCTTCCGATTCACAGCCCCTCCCGGCCTTCTCTCAGCCTTCGCTCCAAACCTCCTCCCTGCCAACCAAGCTGCCCTCACCCATCCAGCCCTCCCTCCCCCCAAACCTCCTTCTTACCTGCGGCCCTCACCCAAACCCCCCACCTCTCACGCAAACATCCAGCCCACAGCAACCCCCTCCCCTCCGTCTGCCCTTCTCACCAACCTTCTGTCCGTGCTTTCTTCCTTCCTTTTTTCGTTCCAAGAGTGTCGCGGGGAGCACTAACGGTTTTTTTTGAGGGGGAGCACTAACGCACTAACGCATTTTTTAATTTTTAAGGTGTCCCGGGGAGGCCTGGGGGGGGGGTCCTGGGGCAAGTAATTTGAATTTCGCGGTCTGAAGGGAAAGCAATTTTGAAAAACCGGCCCGCCGGGCAAGTTGCGCGGTGCTTTTTTTGTGCTCCAATTGGAGTTTTGCGGTGGTCCTTTGTGCTTTTTCTTGTGGGTTCCGTGGTGCTTTTTTTTGTGCTCCCGCTGGTGGTTTCCCGTGATGAAAAGTAGTAGCGGAGTCCGGGCGGGTGGTAATTGGGGTTTTGTGGTGGTCCCTTGCGCTTTTTCTTGTGGGTTTCGCGGTGCTTTTTTTTGTCCTCCCGCTGGTGGTTTCCCGTGATGAAAAGTAGTAGCGGAGTCCGGGCGGGTGGTAATTGGGGTTTTGTGGTGCTTTTTTTTGTGCTCCCGATTGTGCTTTTTTGTGTGCTTTTTCTTGTGGGTTTCGCGGTGCTTTTTTTGTGCTCCCGCTGGTGGTTTCCCGTGATGAAAAGTAGTGGCGGGGTCCCTCTGGAGGGTAATTGGGGTTTTGCGGTGCTTTTTTTTTGTGCTCCCGATTGTGCTTTTTTGTGTGCCTTTTTTGTGCTTTTTCTTGTGCTTTTTCTTGTGCTAGTTTTCCGCTTTCCTGTGGAAACTCCGTCCGAAAATTTGCCGAAATTGGCCAGAAGTGCGGGAGCCGGCTGGAGTCAGTGCCAGCTCGGCCAGCTCGGCGCTGGCGCCAGCTCGGCCAGGGGCCAGCTGGCCTGGCCGGGCAGGGTAGCCAGCAGACTGGCCTGCAAACAGCTGTCTAGGTCGCAAGGGCAAACGTGGCAGTGGCTCCCCTGGCCCTGAACCTGTCTTTCAGGACCTTGGGCTCCTCCACCAGGCCCACAAACGGAAGAAGCTGAAAGAAAAGACGCTCCCTGTGCGCTGACTGCGCCACTTCCTGCCTGCTTTGGATTTTGCTCTCTGTCAGATCAAGATGTCAGAACTTGGTGTTAGCGTTAGCACTTGCATTCAACTTGCAGCGACGGCGGAAAAGTGAAAGTGATAGTTGCTGTCTAGGCCAATGTTTATTTGCGATATATGTTTATGCTATGTCTATGTCTCTGTCTATGTTTACGACTCCTGAACCAGCTTTAAACTTTTCCTAGGTCTCCTAAATCCTAATGCACCTACAGTCCAGTGACAACCCCAAAAGCACAGCACTAGAAACCAGTAGGGACAGAACCGTATTTGGGCCTGGGCATGAAAAGACACCACTCTACTCTCCACTGCATCATCATATAGACCAAACAAATACGCAACCTAAAATTGGTGGGGCGTGCTTACCCAAAACCAATTTGGGCTTGCTGGTGGTCATTTTTGCTGAGGTTTTATGTATAAATGGCTTTATTTAACTGTTACTGCTCGGGGGCACCCCCCAAAATATGAGTAAGTCCAGGAGTCCATGCGAGTCCCCGGGTGTTGGACAAAACCTGCGACTTGTTGAAGGTGTTTAAGGTTACTTGGTTGACGTTGGAAGGGGAGCAAAAATTGAGAAATGTTAGCCGTTAAGTGGATTTGGATTTCAACCACTAAGCCACAAGAAGCAAAAATGGGAAAATTGTTTCCCAACGACAACCATGGTTACAGCCCGCCTCGGTAGCTCCGGGCGTCTTGATTCATTTTTCAGCCCGCCTTAAAACGGGCCGGCAAACCACACAGAAACCAAGATGACACGTTGGGCGGCCTTGTTCTTCAAGTCGCGGAAAAGCCCCTTCAAGTCGACAAAAAATCGGAGGTTGCGAGTTTGAGTTGATTGTTTCAAAACCCCAAGTCCAGTTTTGTCTCGAGAAAATGGAGTCAAGGACATGAGACGATTTGGCATTGAATCCAAAGGTTTATTGGAGGCCATCTCCAAGCGTCCGGCTTGCCTCCAACTCCAAATAGAGGAACTCCCAAAAAAGTAGGGTGGGGTCCCTTTGACCCTAAAAACGGTTTGCCTGAACCTTTTTTTCCAGGGCTCTCTATATTCATTTTCTTGCACGGATTTATTTTGCTGTACGATAATATTTATTGCGTCCACAACCTGCCGAAATCCTGCAAAAACAACTTTGGATTTCAATGCTAAAGCATCTGCTGTCCCCGATGTGTCCATCAATGTCACAGCAGCAACCCCTCCCCCCCCAAAACAACACACTCCTACCAACAAGCGTTTTAACTTCCGTTTGCGGGAGGGCCCCGTGCGGTTTTTCATGGGCTCTGCTCAGGGTTGGGCCAAGCTTGCTTAGGCGCGTTCAAATCACAACCACCTGTGGGATTCATTTTAAAGTGTTTAAGGGAAGCGGGGGCTTGTCAGCTCCGTGACGTTACTCCCTATTTTCCGTCTACAAGTCTTGGTCTGCTTATTTTCCTAACTTCCCCCCCAAAGAAAAAAGAGGTTCTGAGAACAACAGGTGACAAACCCACTCTCCCCGCCTTCCCTCCTTCTCGCCCTCCCCTTTTCCCCCACCCTCCCGCCCTTTTTGCTTGGCGCATTATCATTCAACGCGTTCTTCGCCACCAAGATGTGCAGCAGCTCCTCGCGTGAACGTTTTGGGTCGGCTCCCGGGCCGGCAACGCTCCCCAAACAAACCGGGGGCCCATTTTAAGGGGACCTCTTCGTCAGAACCACTTCGGGGAAATGTGGGAAATTTCTAGATGGCCATGGGTACCCCCAGTGAACATCCCCACTAAAATAGGCTCTAAAGTGGGTGGTGCACCTACTCACTCACTCACTCAAGCGGCCTGCTCCAGTCAAGCGTAGCCTAAACATGCATTTCGGGGCGGGGACAGGGCTTAACCCCAAAAATCCGGCTGTACAGCCCCAACCACGGCGGCACCCACCGTCGGGCGAAAAGGCTCACACCTCTCCGAGTTCGCTGGGACCTTCCCACCCCCACCTCCGGACCCTCTCTGAGTGACCTAACACCCCTCTGGCAATGGCCTCCGACAGGCCAACCTTGGCCTTTGCCGTGCGCCATTAGCCCTCTTCATCCCGACCACCAAGCTTCTCATGGGCGCCATGCCGGTGGTTGCACCGGCCCTGATCGCCAAGCCCCCTCAGCACATGCCATGTATCCGGCATCCTGAGTAGGGCCAAGGTGGTAGGCTTTCTGGCTCCTGCTCCGCAGACACACTGGTCAAAGCTGATCCGCGCCCGCGTGCAGCCGTTTGAAGATCCGGGTCCAAGGCTGCGCCCAGATAGACGCTGGTCCCTTGTGGGTTGCCCAGGTGGCATATTGCGGATGTTCGATGAACCCACATCCGCCCGCCCTGGCCAGTACCCACTGCATGTCCCACGCAAGAAACAGCAACACATTGCCAACCCACACCTGCCGGTGCTGTTTATTCGTCAGCCGTGTCTTCCCGAAGGGCCACTGCTCATCCCGAAGGGCAACAGGACCTCCCGGCAAGAGCCTAGCTGCTGACCGGCCAAAGCCTGCACCAAGCAGAAGCCCTTTGGCTGCCTTGTCCAGCCACCACTGCCTGTTTTCTGCCTGCATGAGATTTCCCCAATCACCTTGCAAGCATATATCAACTGACAAGCCAAAGACCACTCCGCCCTCCTGTGTCATGCGCTGCCATTCCAAGTGCGACTGCAGGTCTCCCCAACGTCGGTATCCCGCATAGAAGTGTACAAACACCTGTGACCTCATGCTGATAGCAAGCGCTCCAACCGACAGACCATTGAGCTCATACTCTCCATGTCTTCCTCGGCAGCTGCCGCCTGCCGATTGCATGACAACTCTTGCTCATGGTTCACACTCCGGTCGCTGTCTTTCGTCAACCACCTCAACCCTCGCAACTTCTGGCCGCAAACGGGCGTACGCATCGCCCTGTCCCTGACTACGCCTCATCCACCGACTGTGCATGAGTGCGGCTTCTTCAGCGCCTTCTGCGGGGATTGGGCATCCTGCCAGCCGAACAGCGGGAACAAGCGCCTTGCCTGGCCACCACCCGCATCGTTTGTTATGGCCAATTTCTGCAGCAGTAGCTGCATCTTCCCGCGCAACTTGCTCCTCCGACCGCGCCGGAAAGCACGCTTCCACATGTCGCAAGCAGTCAACCAGGGTGGCCCGATAATGCTCAACCAACCGGTACCTTTCCTGGAAGTCCGTGAGACATCTAGGACACACGCTCCGATGCAAAATACCGGCCCTTGGCCCGGTGCCCGTGCTGCTTTGTAGCGTGCATGGCTAGTCCCCGGCTCGTACCAAAGACTCTGCCGCACTGATTACAGCCATGTGCCTCGCTGCCAACATGCGCCCTCGGCCTGGTACCTACGCCAAGACTCTCCTGTATGTCCAACGGTACCTCAACGCCTGCCTCCTGCGCCTCATGCACCCATTGCTTCTGCCGAACCCATGCATGAGCCTGGCGCTGCCTATCCCCTCGGCACGCCTTGGCAGCCGCAACTACAAGATCCTTCCAGGCGGGATGGCCAAGCACAAAGCGTCGCCAGACTACAATGTCATTTCCGTCCGGCAAGCTAGCATCCTCGCCTGCATACCTCCGGAGCCATTCGAAGTCACGCTGAAGGTTGCCAACCCACGACCCCCGGCCTTGTGCACCTGCAACTACAAGCTCAAACAGAATCGAGGGGCATTACCAACCATTCTCCCGAAATACTGCAGTCGTGCCACGCTAAGCTGGTCCAGGAGTGACATGACGCGTGCCAATCCACAAAGCGTCTGCGTACTAGCCTCATGTGCGGGGAGGCCCCCCAACAAACCCTTGCACAACGGGGCCACCCAGTCATGCGCCATGCTCTGCCACTTACCTTGCTCAGCTTCATCGAAGCTGCCCCATACATGCGCGTTGTACTGGTGACGACTGAGCTTGGTGTGCAGCGGGATGCCAGGTGGAGCGAAAAAGGCACGTTTGAGTTCTCGCGCGACCTGATGCGCCTGTGCACCTCTCGCCTTCCTTTCTCTAGCCGTGATCCCGCCTTGCTGCACCCATGTACCCAAGTGCTGGTAAGCGTCAGTAACATGCATCTTCTTCTGCTCCCCACCATGCGACTCAAACACAACCCACGCCTGATCCTGGATCATGACCTGCTGCTTACACTTTCGTGAATGCGGCCCCGCAAGGTGCAGGACAACCTCCGTTTTCTTTTTATCATAGTTGAGCCGCAGTCCTCTTTGGCTCATGACCTTGGCTATGGTGGCGATCACGCCCTTCACCCTGCAGAGTAGCCCGTCACACGTGGCAGCAGTGACCGCGTACGCGGCATCGTCAAAGTAAGCGGTCTCAACATGACCCGTCTGACCAGTGCCCTCAGCACGCTCAACTGCTTCTTTCCACTTGGGGAGCAAATCCCGCTCTTGCAGCTCTGCCCGGATGGCTTTCAGCGCGCTGGTCATGGCCAGATTGAATAGAACGTCCCCAACTGGGTCTCCTGGCCGGGTACCCTTATTGGTACGGCAGTAGTCCTTGACCCCGCATGCGAAAATACGTGTTATCAAACAACTGCCGCAGAGTGTTGTCCGTGTGCGCAGAGACTCCGCTTGTTGCATTGAGTCTTTCAACCCGCTCTCGAAACTCATGGAAGTCTTTCTGCGCCACTCCCAGCGACTGTATCACTCTTAAGGCCTCCTCATCTGTCATGAGCCTTTCTGTCAGGGTGACCTGCAACACCTGGTAGAATGCAGCAACAAGGTCAGTGAAAATGACTGCAGCCGGCACCGAGCCTTGGCATAGCACATGAAGGCTCCAATCACATGATGTGCCGTATCTGTCGCCCTGCCCGCCCGCCCTCCAAACTGCGTATCAAGTGCAACTTCCTCGAACCGCTCCGCTAAATCTTCTCTCACCAGTCCATGGTACACTTTGCCAATGGTGTTGGAAACCATAATAGCACGATGGCCCGAGGTTTGGTGCGCCTTGGCTGCCCTTCAACAACGCCACTAGATGTCCTCCTTTCCATGCTAACGGTTCACCCCCGAGGATGGCGCATTTCATGAACATGGGGAGCAAACACTGCGCACATTGCACCCCTCCGATTTTGAGCAACTCAGCAGGGATGCCGTCCGGGCCAGGCGCTCGCCCTGCTTCCAACTTGCCAAGGCGCCTGACTATCCTTCCCAGTGTGGGAACGTCCTTCCACTCTGCTAGATGAGGACCAGGAATCACTCGGCCTTCACGTTGCACGATTTGCGTCGCCGTGACCCGGTCCCCGCTCTCCTGCTCTGCAAACCTACTGAAGAGCGCATCCTGTTGCTGCGCCCTCTTCATCGCACATTTGCGGCAGGACTCGTGTACGTGATGCAGCTTTCTTAGCTGCAGCCGGGGTCAATATCCTTTTGAGGCTCTCATAAAGCTCTTGAGAGCTTTTCAGGGCCCCGCTGCTTGCAAACTCTTCAACAATTGCGGTTGCAAGGCGAGTTTTGTCCGCTCTACATCCCGCTACCACACGTGCGCGGGCGCATCGGATCTCTTCATAAACACATTTCCAGTAATCACTCAACTCCCTTCTCCGTTCCGCCCTCCTGTACCAGCAACGCACTTGTCTCGCCCATGATACCCATGCCCAAGTCTCTGCTGAAAGCCAAGACTTGCGTTGCAGCCGGACCTTAGGAGTGAAGATCTGTCGAGCGAGGGCATCCACCTGCCCCACCAACTGTTCATAGTGCGTGTGTGCATCCACATGCCAGCCGGGGATCGGCAAACTGCCAACGGCATCTCGGAAGCACGCCCTCTTCCTCGGGTCAGTCATGTCAAGATCCCGGAGCCTCGCGACTCTGGCTTTACCAGATTTGACTAGCATGCCTCTGATTTCTGCAACAACCGGCAAGTGGTCGTCCTTGATGTGGCCTACATCAACCGACTCGTCAACCCAACTGGAGTGACACGCCTGGCTAAGCGCTCCTGACATGCACACATAGTCCCTACGGTACCATGCTTTGCTGGAGTGCTGCCACGTGGTGTGCCGACCAGTGTGCCATGTCGCGTGCGTATTGACAGCCACCAACTTAGTGCTCCGAAGAAAATCCTGGAACGGCTCAGTGGCCGGGTTCGGCTTCTCCGCTCCCAACATGCCGAAGAAGGGATTTGTCTCCTTTGCAAGGGCAGCATTCGCATCACACAGCAAAACCACCTGCCTGCCTTTCCCATGCGTATGGATTCTCTTTCCAAGCTCACTCCACCATACTTCCAGGTCCGCCTCTCGGTGCGGGTCATAGAAAGGGGCATGCGCCGCTACTATCAGCCACTCGCCTACCTCACCTGCTACCACCACCATCATGAGACGAGGGTCCGCACGCACAACACTTGCATCCATCTGGCCTAGGAGCACTGGGGAGCCGTCCTCATTTTCTGCAATGGCCAACGTGGTGCTCAGCCACACCTCACACCCATGATTCTTGCCATGCTTCCCTTGACTTTTGTCCGTGGCCCCCGAGGAGAAAATGCGGTACAACTCCGTCATGCGCACTCCTCGGGGGGTCCTTGCTTCCTGCACTCCAACCACATGCCATCCAAGACTATGACACTGCTTGGCCAACATCTGTGTCTTCCCAACTTGCCATCGGCCCACTG